TGACATCTTCTTCCTTGAACCTGGATGAAAGAAGGGATCCATGTTTGTTCCCCATGTAAATTCATGAGTCTGCATTACAAGGCCGAAAACCTTTGCAGCATTCCGTTCGGCACCGCCAGCGTAGCCGGAGATTGCAGATTGCTCAGAGCCTGCCTTTGTGTCCTGAGATTGATGGGGCTTTCGGCTCAGGACAATTACTTATAGTTGCTTTTGTAGGTTTTTTCTGAGCCACTTTCATGGTTAGGACCCTATGATAAAGAATCTGTTAAGCGGTTAAACCAAAACAAGATCTGCAACGGAGATTATAGGTGAGGGCAGTCTTGCCGTGTCACGGATTCCGGTTTTCTTGCTGTGGCATTTGAAAATGCACGATCGGTTGCCGATGGAAGCTGGAGGGAAGTATAGACCGCATTTGGTCGCACCGCACCCTACTACAATGTGCCAACATCCCAGCACTGAATTCAATTTGATTTTGCTGTCGCTGCTGATGGAGATGCTGGCCGGGAAGCCATGACATCTTTGACCCGGTTGTGACCATGCTATGACAACCGTCATGGTGATTAGAGCGACTAGGGTGATGCCAACGACGACGGCGACAATGACGATGTTATGGTGATGAGGGTGATTAGGGTTTTCATTCGTTTGGTGAAGTCGGGCTTGCAAGATTGTGGCAGACCTGGCAGTGACGGCCTGTCACCAGCGGTAAAACGGCCAAATCGCAGACTTTGAAATCCCCAAACCTATAACTTACACCCCGAAGCTTGAAATTCTGCCGACACAAGGGCCACGAAGCAGGGCATACGATTGGAGGGGTGATGGGAGGACTTGCTAAATGGAACAAAGCAATTGGGACGCTGGCTGCTTCCGATTTACTTAGGTTGACGACCCGACACTCGATTCGTTTCGGGTTGGCAGATGTTTAGGCTGATCCCATCATCCACACGGATCTCAGACAATCTAGCGATTGCGAGTTTGCAAGTCCGAAATCCCAGCCGCCCCACGAGAGCCCACAAGGGGAACCGCCCTTTCCGACCTGCCTCGCGACGATTTGCGCCCAGAGGGGGAGGCCTACTCAGACTTCTGCGAGCCCAAGCCTAAAAGTAATATCAATATATAGTTATAGTTATATAGTGTTCTAAAGCTAGCATATCAGTTATAGTATGTAATAGTAAAAGTCAATTTCGTGCACCATCGGTCGGTGTCCTGACATTGTCCGGTAGGATATTCTATGCCGACAGACTAGGCCACCTTGGAGTAGAATGCGTCTTGGCAGTGCCTGGAGGTACAGGCGGGGCTTGAAACAGAAAGGCTGGTTCGCAAGGATTTGGTTTGGAGCGCTGCAGTGCGTAGAGTGCATGGGTAGCTGTGGTTTTGAAGCTGCGCAGCAAGATTCCCCCATCCTGCGCCTGAAACCAGAAGCTGAAAAAGTTGAAGAACTCCCCCGTTTGATCCCGTTTCAATTGCACCGATGGGACTGCTGCTATTTGTCTCCATCAATGGCTGCTCACAGGACTTTCAAAGAGCAATGTTTCTGCTGCTGCCGGTATATCTAGTGGCGCATCATGTAGTTGCCGGCAAGGTGGTTTCTCCATTATGCCACGCTGAAGCGACGGACATGGTCCCATTTCTCATCCGACCAGTCACTGTGGTTACCTAAGCTGTCGCAGTGCGCTGTTTTCGTTCGACATGTTAGAACAGTGAACGCTGACCAACATCTTCTGAACTTGTAATATATGCGACTTGCAACTGAAGAGAACTGACATCTCAGACATGAGAGATGTGATCTTCGTTACCGGGTAGTCGCAACATTTTTACATGTCGCATCTTGTCGCACAGATCTCCTAGCTACACACCAGAGGTTGAGACCTACACCAAAAGACGGAAGTGGGTGGAGACAAGGATAGCAGCAGCCAGTGCTCGATTTTATTGCGAGAAGTCCCGGCAGAGGCTGCAGTGAGAGGACATCACAGGCATCAGTTCATCATCTTAAGGAATAAGGTTCCTTTAAGGGCTCCTTAAAGGGATCTATAGGGCTCCTTAAAGGGATCTGTAGGGCTTAGGGATTATAGGGTCTACTTGGGAGGATCATAGGACTTAGTAAGTAAGGTTATAAGTACCTTAATTGGGGTTATAAGTATAGTCACCCTAGTTATAACCCTAGTAATTACTAAGTCCCATGATCCTTCAAGTAAGAAATATCTCGCCATATGATCCCCTTGATGATCGTCTTAACCAATATACACCCATGCAACACCCGGCACCCTGTTCTAACTGTTGCCCCCGATGGAGCTTTCTGCCATCTTTCGACTACCAGTATACAAGGTTCTCCGTTCAGGAAATGAGATCCCGTATAGGAGGACCAGGTTGGTGTTTGCAAGTTACGTCCATCTTGAATGCAGGCTTAACGACGAACGTATGTCTGGCTTCAGGCTCATAGGATGCGATCGAAGATACATTCTGTCCCAGTGGGGCAGGCGCATGGTAAATCAGTCAGCCGGTCTAGTGTTACCCTCAAAACATGCAGGACTTGTAATGAGTTTGCTAGTCACTTCCCCGTAGTATCAAACACGCCCTGAAGAATACGAACCGCCTTGTCCCCCCTGTTTTGAAGTAGGGGGATGTAAGAGCAAGAGCAAGAATAGAAGCAAGAGCAAGAGCAAGAGCCGCAACAGAAGCTGCAAGATCCTTCTCAATCTGACAGCAGAGGTAGACATACCTCACTAAAACATGTTTCGGGTGTTTTCTGGCGCTTTTCTGTTGAATTGCTGAGGTCAAATGTTGTGCCGGTAACAGGAGAGAAGACCTTTCGACAGCTCACCTCTCTCACGCGGGACCTCTCTTGCTGCTTGTGCTGGTGAACAAGTGGCCAGCGCCAGCTTATGGGGGCGACTGAGTCTGAATGCATCCTAAGCCCTAAGCCCTAGCTGAGCCCTGGACGGGCATGTGGGCAGCTTGTTTGCATTTTCCTGTGTTTATGTTTTCGTTTTATGATGATCTCCAGAAGGTATTTATATAGTCTAATGTAGATTATGTATGTGTGCATGGATGTATCTATGTATGTAAGGCAAGTATGTCTGTCTGGTATGTATGTAGGTATGTATGTATCCATACATGCATGCAAGATGTACACACACATGAATGAATACATATATATATATATACACATGTATGTATGTGTGTGTATGTATGTATGTATGTATGTATGTACGTATGTGTGTCTGTATTCATGTATGTATGTCGGACACCCCTACTGCCACAAGGTTGGGTTACACCCAAGATCCATTGCCCTGCAACAGACGATGGGGACCGGATCATCAGTACTAGCATCCCTTGCCGGCCTCATGTATTTCTACCCCAAACAACATTTTTCTGCATTAAGGCTTCTATATTACTTGGCTCACAGGTTTTGGACATAGAGGAACAAGGAGGTTCAACTATGAAGAGTTTGATCGCAGAGGTGGTACCCTTAAAGGCCTTGAGCTCCACGAAGGGACCCTAGTTCAATACAGAAGTCTGAATATAAACAGTAGGATTCCACAATATATGTAACTATATTCCAACCATTACACCCCTGTACTTCGGGCAAGGTACGCCCTTCAACTCCTACTCTAGTCGAACCTTGCGAAGTCTGGCACTGCCACAGGAGCTGGGACAATCGAGAACTCGTTTTTAAGCCTTTAAGCCGTTCCATGTTGCCGGAGCATCTTTCCAAGTGCCAGCAAACAGGATCCTGAAGATTGAGTTAGTCCAGAATGTCCCCGTATAGTCCCCTAAACCCTAAACCCTAAACCCTTATAGTCCCCATAGCAGTGTTTCTCTGCGACGGTATTTCGCTAAAGGCCGGGATCCCACAAAGGCAGACCCCGAAACTCGTAGGCCGCTTCCAGCTTCGCATCTTTGCCCCAGTAATTGATATGAGCAGCTGAGTGGATACACTTTACACTTTTTGGGATAATATTACCCACTATATAACTGAAAGTGTACACTTTTTGGGGCTTGTGAACTCAGCAAGTAAGTGAATCCGAGCCACGCATCTAACCTAGACGTGCTGGAGACTTGGATGTGACTGCTCGACTCTGACTCCGATTGCGATTGCTGGGCTGGCCGCCCACATGGAAATAGACGCATCCTTTAGAAGGGGCCCCCGCCCTGTAATAGTGAAATAGGAATATACTAGGGCCCTAATATAATTAATCCTCATAGTCACTATTACAGGGTGGGGGCCCCTTCTAATGCATCCTCGACTTTGGAGTTGCTAAGAATTTGGAGGTTGTGTCAGCCCTTAGAGCTCGGAGTTTATGATGATATTGCCCAGTCTATCGGTTCAGGACGTAGCGTCGGGGGGATGTCGTAAAGCACAAGGAGTCAAGGAGAGCATAAATATGGCTTCCCCCACGTCTCCCACGAATTGTCCGGACTCATGTTTGGCTGTGTTTCTGTGGTGTGTGCGTTTAGCGGTGCTTCAGTCTCCAGGTTGTTTGTGTCTTGCTGCCTTGCTTGGCTTCTAGTGTCGGGTGCCTCTCGGTGGGTCGTTGTGCAAAATCCGCGGGTTGTGGAACTTGATCCGGAAGGACCACCTGCACTATCCTGCTGTCGGCGAGAGAAGGTCCATCCATGCTGGAAGGCTTCGATTTTGTTGCGACTCGCCTGCCCTTGCTGCCGCAGCCGTTGACACCTATAAAACCGCAATGAAAGGACACCTAAGTGTCGCTTGGGCCACGATCTTCCAACTCCCAACCCTGGCCCTGCAACCTGTGACTTGCCTCCAAACCCCTAACAGCTCGGAACTCCCTAGAACTCCCGAAGCCCCCAAAGCCCAAAGCACAAGCAAGTTCGACCCATCCAGCCTCTAGAAGCCCAGAGATCCCAATACCCCTTAATTAAGGAATATACCTTAAATCTTAAGATTGAGGTCCCTAGTATTTAAGGTATATTCCTTAATTAAGGGGTATTGGGTTCTCTAGAAGTCTGAGAGTTCCGAAAGTCTCGGCTGCCTCGCCATGTCTCCGGCCTTGCCGCAGGCGCGTCTCCTCCGGTGGTTGTGGATGGAGGGTGGTACCAGTGTTCCTGTACAGTTTCCGTCGAATCGGGCTATATATATATATATATATATATATATATTCCACACGCTGCTGCACCTACTCAGGCCCTAGGCTATGATATATTCCACAAGCTACTGCACCTACTCAGGCCCTCAAATCATCCCGAAAGCAGCCCTTGTAGCCTCGTAGAACCCTTTACAAGGATCCTCAAAGAAACCTTGTGATTTTGTTCTCTCCTTGTTAAGGCCGCATATCAGTTGATGACAAATGAGCCAGTTTCTTTCGAAGCTGTGGGATTGGGGGATTTTGAGGTGCTAGAGGCTGCTAGTGGCTGCGGTAATTCTAGATTCTACCTCTTAGGGTTTGGAGCTGTTGGATGAGCCGGTTTAGGGTTTAGGGTAGCCAATTCCAGGTTCTGCCTCTTAGGGCCTAGGGTTTGGAGTTCTAAGGTGCTGCTTTAAAGTTTAGGGTGAATTCTGCTACCTGGTCGAAGGGCAGTGCTGGAACATTAGCGCCTTTGCTGTGGGAGCCTTCGTAGCTGAGCTTGGCTTCGTAATGTTGGAAGTTCGCGGTGCGGGGGTTGCGACAGGCAGTCATGGCGGACGCGGACGCACTGCCCGATGTGCAGATCTTTGCGCAAGGTGGGGTGGGCGCATAATTCTGAATACTTTGCGGCTTCAGAGGCGAGTTGAAATCAGCCAGAAGACCCCGAAAGCCCCTTTGCTGCCAAGCTCCCTATTTCACTTGTTTCTCGAAACCTGTGGCGCCGAAGTCGACTTGCTGATCATGAGACCCTGTATCCAAACCCTGCAGAATAAAGTCTAACTCTTGAGCTCAAGTTGGGGAAGCAGATGGCTTGGGGATTTCAATGTCGTTTGTGTTTGTCTTGGGTTCTTCCAGGCCCTTAAACTTTAAACTTGGTCCAGAGCACCTTCAATGGTAAGACACCCTTTTGAAACTTTGGGAACTCTAAGGGAAGCGTAGGTCAGGACAGGATGTCTGTCCTACTTACCTCTTCCGTCTTTTGCTTTTGCTATAGGTAGCTGCTACATGTCGTCGGCCAGTTACCAATCAGACAGGAACCCTAAACCCTAAACCCTAAACCAAGAGCAGCTTCGTTGCAAGGTCCAGCCTCGACCTGATGCGTTTTGCGGACAGTAGGTCCTGGAATCGAGGGGGTCGACAGATGATCCACTATACTAGGTAGGGCTTTGGGCCATTTTATATTTCCCTTTATTGGGTTTAAGAGGATCTTATTTACTAATATTTTTCAAAGGCTTTAAAAGCCCCACCTAGTAAAAAAACAACTACAAAAGCCCAACAGAAGCCCTTGGAGGCCCTGTTCATAGCCCCGGAGCCCTAAACCCAAGTAAAGCCCTACTAAAGGGGCCCAAAGAATTGCCAATACTGTTTTGGGGCCTCCTTATTAGAATGAGAGTATAGTGGGCCCCCCAAATCCTATTATAAATATTCAGGCCACTATACCATAGAACCCTGGTATAGATCCCCCATGGACCCCTTTAAATGACCCCGTAAAGCAAGCCGACTCTAAAACGCTAAAGCCGCTTTTTCTTACCTTAAGTCGTTGACGCCCCGGAAGTATCCCAAGCTTACCGCCACGAGGCCGCTCCAGGACGACGCCCGCCGCCGAGGTCGTCAAAAGCAAGGCTGGGAGAATCTTTCTTGATGGGGGTTTAAGATTTATGTATTTAGGTTGAGGGGGTTTACGATTTATGTATTTAGTTTGAGGGGGGTTTAGGATTTATGTATTTAGTTTAACGTTTAGGGTTTAGTTAGGCTTGGGTCGGGGGAGGGGGAGGGGGGGTGCTATGATCAGTCTGTTGTTGTTTGTACCTGGGGCTCGAGGTCTCAATTTTTAAAGTCGCTCTTTCGCTGCCTCGGACATAATTTGTGCCTGAAAGTTTCGTTTCCTTAGGTTAGAAGCTGCCCCCACCCTGTAATAGTGGTATAATAGGAATATAATAGGGCCCTATTATAATCCTTATATATCCTTATGGTCACTATTACAGGGTGGGGGCAGCTTCTAAGGTTTAGGGATCTTGTTCCATCTCCTGCAGCCGCCACTCGACCCAAACTCTCGCGTTGAAGGTTTCATATCCATAGGGGGCCTAAGTAATACCATTTGACTTACAGAGTTCCTCTAAAGGGCTCCTTTAAAAGGGGTCTATAAGTGATCTATAGTAGGGTTCTATGATATAGGGGCTTAAATGAGTACCAATACTTGTTTTTTTTTTTTTTGGTGGGGGTGGCGTTCCTTATGATAGTTAAAGTAAAATATACACCAGAACCCCATTAAATTGATAATACTTAAAACTATTTTGGGGGATTCCTTAGTATAATCCTGGTATAATGTACCCAAAAACCCTATTGGAATTTTTAAGGCCCCTATATTACATCCCAAGGATTCCCTGAAACCTGAAGCCCCAAACCTAAGCAAACGGACTACAACATCTCAGGTTGGTTTACGGGGTAAGGGCTTTTTCGCCAATAGCAAGTGCCATAAACCCAAGTAGCCCTGCTGCAACCTCAATTGTGATATGGTTTTTGGGGTGCTTTGTTTGGCTGTCAGGGTATGGGACCCAAACTGCTAGGTAAGGGTTTTTTTTTCAAAATGTTCTACCAGGAAGGTTCAGAAGAAGCTAAGAGTGCCAGGAATCCCGGCGGCGCAGTAACGGCTCGGTGCCTGCCGCAGCACAGGTCGCACCGCCCCACAGGCTCAGCTGGGGTTTAGGGGTTTAGGGTTTATAGGGGTTGCGTTGTCGGGGCTCTGACAGGGGTGCATTCTGATGCGCGCATTCCTCAAGCTTTACCGTTTCTCTAGCCGGCTAGAATCCAGAAGCCGTCGAAGTGTTGCTTGCCGTCTTGTACCATTCCTCTTTCGTGCTTTCAGACATGGCTTGACTGCACGTTTTCGTTACAAGCCTACCGAAATCTTGTTCAACACGATGGCTTTTCAAGTTTTCTCACGAAATCTGATGGCACTCGAGGCCCGAGTTTGGCTTCCGTGTAACGAAAGTTCACTCTTGTTCCAGTTGGGCCCTTGCTTGGTTTTCAGTCCATTGAATCATGTGCGCCAAAGACTTTTCGACGTAAGGTATTGCACGAGAACCGCCGAGGGGATGAGAAAGAAATGCAGATAACAGAGAGACACCTTCCGCGGGACACAGGTGCTGGCCGGGACGTGGGAAGTTCGCATGGATGCCGCTCGTTTGCATGAAGTACAGTGTATATACTGTTTATTGGGAGGGGGGGTGTGCTTGATAGTTCAAATGAGTTGAAGGTACTGCTCGGGGCATGCATGTCTTCTTGGAATTCAGGGTCGGCTGGATTGTTCGGCTGCAATTAACTGCTGTCCGACACACGTGATGGCGGTGTGCGCGAACAGATTCCCTTACAGGCCCCATCATAAAGCGAAGCAGAGACGTCCTGACTGCAGCTTTCCGAGTGCAAGTGAAGCTTATAGTCCTGAGCTGCAGAACTTCATCCGGGATCTGAAGAATTGAAGCCCGAACGCCCTTAAGACACAAGCCTCGTATCCCCAACCCTCACTCAGAGATCGCAGACTCAGATTATTTTCAGACTCAACAGTGCGGCTAGTCCTAAGCCGAGACCGAAGTTTTCAGGATGTTGTTTGGCCTCTTTCTCGTGGTCGACTCCTCCAAATACTTGGTCGATGCCGCTCGGCGTGCATGGGGTAGTCGTTGCCACAACAACTTCAAGGAGCGTACTCTGAGTGGTCGGTGTTTTTTCTTCGGTTCTGTGGTGGTAGGCTACTTTAAACTCTCGTCCACACCCTAGGGCGCCCTAGAAGCCCCGATAATACAACCCCGCCATTCATGTCCCTTCTCCCTGAATAGTAAAGGCCTACTTGGAGGATCATGGGACTTAGTAAGTAAGGTTATATTGGGGTTGTAAGTAGCTATAAGTCTAGTTACCCTACTTATAACCCTGGTTACCACGTCCCATGATCCTTTAAGTAACCCCAAAACCCCTGTTCTAGAACCCTTATAGATCCCTTTTAAGGAGCCCTTTCAAGAACCCTATAGTTACTAAGTCCCATGATCCTTGAAGTACAGACCCTCGTCCTCACTCTGGTGATGAACTGGAGGTCCGAGCCATGACCCACAGCCCGCGAATAGCACAAGCGATCGTGCTCACGCAGGCCCCTGGAGGGTTTAGGGCTCATAGGGCTTAGGGCGTAGAGTAGCGTTTTTTGGGGTGCAGGATTCATAGGGTGTGAGGGCTTGTTGGGACTTCTAATTTTAGGTGTAATGTTCAGATTTGGGGGATAGGTTTGGGGATGTGGGGACTTGTGGCTTCAGCTCGAAGTTCTGCGCCTCGACTTAGTAGATCCGCGCTCTTGGTTCCGGTCCGTTTCAGGTTCAGGTGTGGTTATCGTTTAGGGTTTTTGGGTCTAAGTCCAGGAGTCCAGTGTTTCAAGTTTCGGGTTTAGGTAGAGTTGGGAGTTTCCGAAATTTAGGCGTACCTTCCTTTGGGGTCTTTATCATCGTAATATCCTACGTAAAAGCCAGAAAGTTGGAATATGATTATCGTAACCCCTTTAAGGTAAATTATAGGGGATCCTACCATGAAACCATATTCCAACTTTCTGGAGTTCCCTGTATTTTGGGATGCTATACTAGGGTCCCCCCCATTTTCGGAAACCCCAGTTGTCGGTCTGGAGCTCAGAGTTCCAGGGCCAGGAATAGCTTCGTGGTTTCTTCCCCGCTGCGTAGCAACTACTAACTACTAAACCCAAAGCCAAAAGAAGAACCCCAAACCCTAAGCCTCAAAACGAACTCTAAGCTCTTAAGCCCCCAAAGAGAACCCTAAACTGTCCTCGCAGGACATCTTGTCCGTGGTGGTCTGCCTGCTTGCCGTTCTCAGGCGCGCGAGCGCTGCACCGCTCAGTAAAGCGTTGCGTCTGTGTTCCCGAAGTTGACTGCAGAAGCCCATTGTCCTGTATGGTGGGGCTCCTCAAACCACAAAATACATTAGACTGTGTCTACAACCCGGAAACCTACTAGACTCCCATAAGGTATGCACGGCTCTCCTCGAAAGGCTTAACTAAGTAACTACATTCCGAAACACAAAGCCCAAGAGCTTCGAAACCAAAGCCTGGGCTTTTGACGTCACGAGGGCTCCTCTCTTCAACACGGTACATCGCTTGTCCGAGGCTGCTTTCTGGGGACCTTCCATAGGCATCTGCAGCCTCAACTGTAAACTCTTGGCGGAAAAGCTCCAAGTTCGGACGAAAGCACAGAAGAGCATCGCGGATGACATCATTTCCTTCAACCCTGCAAACCCCCACAAGCCCGGCAAACCGTTTTAACTCTTTGCTGTAGAGCCCTAATCCCCGTGCCACATCATGGTCGCCAACACCCAAAGCCTGCCCTGTTATGGTGCATGGGTACCGTAAACGCAAAACCTGAAAGCCACACCCGGTGCCCTAGCAGGTACGAGGGTCTTCGGGGGATCCCAGCAACCTTTTGCTCCATGGAGAGCCTGACTCTGCACTCAGTCGGCGTCAGAACTGGGAGTTCGGAAGTGCTCAAGGGATTAAAACATCTACTGGCTTCAAGAATCTGAAAAGGGTTTTGGGGCATATAAGGGTAAAGTCCGAATATCAGGAGCCCTAACGAATAGTATCAGTAACTACCCAATTCTTCAGGCTTCACAGGTTTTGCAAGAGTTGGTGGGCTGTTGCTCTGGTCAGGGCCTCGAGGAACGGCGGAGCTCGCTGTCAGAACTCCTTTTTCTGTAATATAATTATTCAGGCTTTCTTGTCCTATAGCTATAGGGGACATAATAGTGGTTGAACTGACGGTGTGTTGGATCAACTCCAAATCAAGCTTTTGAGCCCTGCATCTATTTCCAGCCGTGTGCATGGAATTTCCAGCTTCGCAGGCCAGGTTCTAAACTTCGAGCGCCGCAGCAAAGGAGCTAAAACAAGAGCCAAAAACTTCGGAGCTGTTTGCGAAATACACTTCTGCTGATAGCATGGTGCACTTGCTGAGGTTTGGACGTTTTTCAACCCTTGACTGTACACCTTGAAGCCTAACCCCTACAAAGACCTTAGGGGTTCCGGTGCTCCCGATTAAGACGGGAAATCGAGGCTTCTGCGGTGCCTCCCTACGGCAGCGTTGTTTTCGCTGAGTCAGATCCTCAGAGCATGTAGCAATGTTGCTGCAGGTGAATTGAGAGTGGAGGGCTGCGCAGGGGTTATGTACCTAGAGTAACCAATCCACCTTCAACAAAAAACATGACCCTACGTAACATGGGCTGTCAAAACCGCCATATGTTAGAAGCTGCCCCCACCCTGTAAAAGTGACTATAAGGATTATAGTAGGGCCCTATTATATTCCTATTATACCACTATTACAGGGTGGGGGCAGCTTCTAAGCCATATGATAATACTTAGACTGGTCATAGCGGGGTCTTTGGCGGGATTCCTTCGGGTTAGCAGCCGGGCCCCTATACACCATCTTCGCGCGGCCTCGGAAGCTGCATAAGGGATACTGAAAAGGATCATGGGACTTAGTAATTAGGGATCCTTAAAAGGCTTTTCCAGAGGGATTCTATAAAGAGGGGTTTTAGGGCACTTAGAGGATCATGGGACGTAGTAATTAGGGTAACTATACTTATAACCCCAATTAAGGTACTCATAACCTTACTTACTAAGTCCCATGATCCTCCAAGTAGCCTTGGACTCTGTAAACCAAGAGCCCGTAGTCTCAAGCCTACCCATGCGCTTATGAACCTTTTTTTGGGGGACTCCTTTATATTACACCTCGCGAACCCTGTCCTAATCATTATGGCCCGGAGCATTAAAGCAAAATAATATTAGCATAATATACCCCACAAAACCCAACTCCCAAAGACTACGAGGCCCCTTCTATCATAGAACCCTACAGTAGATCCCCTATAAACCCCTTTATGAATGCCCGGAGCATTGAAGTGTCACAGGCAATGCCGCCCTAGCACACGGCATCGGCATCGGCGTTGGAGCTGCTACGGCTGTTGCCCTGCCCCTTGACCTTACCCAAAGGGTCCATGTACTTAAATAGTATGTACTTGTGCCCCAAAGTACCTATGTCGGGACTAGTTTAAGGCCAATATATGTTACATGGACTCTTCGGGTTGCAGTGGGAATCCAAACTGGTTCTGGACTCTCACAGAATTATGGCAGGGTGAGAGTTTTGGAAAAAATGCGCGGTTCCTGCAATGTTAAGAGGGGTAGCTACGAGTTCTTGTGACTTCGGGTCATCTGGTTAAATAGTCAGTAAGGTTTTCTGGGTAATCATTGTCATTGTAGGGTTGCACAAGCACATGTCATGTGGGTGGACTGGGAAACGGGGCCACGAGAGCACATCCCCGCTCCTATTTTCGGGTGGCGTAGGGATGCCACGACAGATCTCGGCATGCCTCGAATCCGATGTCACCATCTGTGATGATCCGCCTCTGCATCTGGGAAGAGTCTTGTTCCCATCCCCGTTCTCGCTTGTTTCACGAGGCAGTCAGTCTTGATGTTCGCTTCGCCTCCTTTCAGACACTCCCATCCGAAGCTTCAAGGCAACATGCAATACCTCGGTTCAGAGAATGTCGATTCTTTCCAGCGATCTTGAATCCTTCTTTTGTCCCGGTCACTGCTTACACCATTGGAACGGGTTGACGGTGAGCATCCTAAACACGGAAGCCTTTAGCCACTGCCTCGGACCCTGAAGAACCTACCCTTCTTTTGGGTTCCTTCTTCTGATTTCTTATGCAAGTCTGGCCTCAAACAGGTGGGTCATTTAGGGTCCTGGTCTGGAACCCCAAACTCGAAACCCTAAACCCTAAACCCTAAAACCCTAAACCCTAAACCCTAAAACCCTAAACCCTAAACCCTAAAACCCTAAACCCTAAACCCTATAATCCCTATAAGCCCTAAACCCTAAGCCGACCGAGCGGGCCGCTGCAGGAACACTCTTTACATGCCCATGTGCGCCTTTGCCACTTGGGCCCGACATTGCATATATGGGAGTTTCCGAAAATTAGGGGTACCTTAGTTTGGGGTCCTGATAATAGGGATCCTACTATTTGGGGTACTATATTAGGGTCCCCTATTTTCGGAAACTTTTAGGTGGCGCCTTAGAAGTTAGATTGGGGTTGTCGGTTTTGGGTTTAGGGTTCAGGGTTAAGTTGCATAAAGGGGCCTTAAAAGTTAGACTGTTCTTTTTTTGGAAGGGGGGCATATCAACTATACTTTAATAAGCAGGTTTCGGGCTTCAGGGTTTAATGTGCTCTGGCGAGATCTCGAGAAAATGAGCTTGGTCTGTGCTGTGGTTTCATGCATTAGCCGCGCCAGTGCAATGCTGTGCTCCTGATTGAGACATCCTGGGTCTATAACCCCAAATAGTAGGATTCATATATGGAACCCTAATAAAGGCCCAAGGTTTCTCAATCAGGTTCCTACATTATAGGGGCCTTAGAAGTTAGACTCGGGTTTTGGAGGCATATATTCAGTATACTGCAATATACTATACTTGTAGTACTAACGAACCCCAAAAGGTTTGTGAAGCAGGCTCCAGGATGTGAGGCAGAACATCGAGAGTCCAGTGAGGGGAACTATCCACCGTGGAAGCCACCCCTGCACGGGGTACACGGTGATCATCCAAAACAGTGCAGTGAGGGGGCGATGAAGTGTCGAGTTGTGATATGGTTCAGCTTTCGGATTCTCCAAAATTCATGGGAGAAGTTGACGGAGAGGCCCCCGAACTCTTTAGACCGCCGTGAAGCCTGTGGTAGACAACTCAGAATACTTCTGTGGGCGCATGGGTCAGAGTCGCTACGAGCTGCAGACCTCCCATCAGCCTAGGATAGTATGCCTTGAAATCATGAAATCTGAAAACATCCCAGACCCCTAATTACTGGTCCGAGTATTGAATCTTTGGAAATGCGCATGTGCTGACATGCTATATGCTGCCAGAGTCCTTCATGAAGAGCTCATCCACAAAGGCCCTGCAGTTATAGCCCCAACGCCTCAGTAAACCCCAAACTAAGGTGAGCAGATGGATGTTCCGACGCAGCTTGGCCGCATGGGAGTCGGCTTCAGACGCGGCCCGAAGTGCAGTCTCCCTGGCTTCCGTGCTCTGGGATCTTGAAACCATCGAGGATGTGCTGAAAAGATTTACCCTGGAGCCATGGAAGCCTTCTACTGACCAAGCCCCCAACATAGGGGCCTCAAGAATTTGGTAGGGTCCTACCGTAGGCTTCCTCAACATATTCAAAGCCCTTAGTCGTCGATTACAGCTAAACCGAAGCCCGAGCCGCAAGAAGTTGGAGCCTCATGAGAAAGAAACTGTTTACCCTATGCTTCCAAGGACCTTATAATTAGGGCCCTAGACCCCTTAAGGACCCAATAATAAGGTCCCTGGAAGCCTAGGGTTTAGATTTTTTCTTAGAGCTCGACGCCTTCAGTAAAGATGGAAGTTCAGCCCGGAAGACCACAGCAAGATTTCCATAGCTGAAAGGACCCTAAACACTACTTTAGCCCTGTAAAACCTGCCTTGTGCATGCCTGTAAACGGCCTCAAAAGGAAAGGCTTTTGAGGGCGGAGGCAAACCTTAAACCCTACAAATCCGAAACCCTATACACCCCAGGCTTTCTAATCGAAGTCCGATAATTATTGTTATTATGATTGTTAATAGTGTTATTGTGATTACTATTGTTATCATTATTGGTACTTTTTTTAAACCCTGTCCTGGGCCTTGATACCTCCAGGTGCCTATGGCTGGCTGGAGCTGCACGCCTTAGCGGCTTCGGAGAAAACGGTGTGCTTTGTTGTGGCCTTGGGGCTTTGATGGCGATGGCGAGGAAGACGGCGATGCTGAAGATTGCCAGGATGACTCCGATGATGATGATGTTGTTGAAGATGGGTATGAGTCATGATGATGAAGCACAAGATGCGGGCGGTGAAGGCCGAATGTACGGATGTTGATGCTTGTTTGTGGATCAGTATTCAGTTTGGCCATAAGTCGTGGGCTGCCTCGCGAGAAATGGACAGGAAGATCGGCAAGAGCAGCGTGGAACGACGGTAGGACGCCGTATGACGAAAGCTCTTCGAAATCCGAGGCTTTGCTGACGTTTAGTTCTTTGACATTCTGCGAGCTGCGCAGCCGCGTCATAGGGCTGCCACTCGGAGTTATATACTTACTAAAGTCCCATGATCCTCCAAGTACATTGCTCCAAGAGTCCATGTGCTCAAATATGATATAGTTTGGCCTTAGTTAAAGTGGTCCCTATAGAAGGTTCTAGTCTTTTCCTATTCTGTAGAAAATGGAATAAGGTTCAGGGCTTCAAGTTTGCGGAGGGTCTCAAGGTGTGTGATAGTTCCTCAGCCAGACAGTCACCACTTCGAAGCCTGAGTCCTACATTAACTTATAAATTTCTAACCCCCAGACCCTAAATACGCAATGAAATGAGGAGATTTCAGCACCCTCTTCAGCCGTGGGCGCTACAACTAGAGCTCGTTCTTGCTATGCTTCAAAGCTCGTCTCATGGCACCAACTGCCTTAGGCCTGATTTGCCTTACCTTGGGTTAGTAGGGAATGGAACCCTTATAGATCCCTTATAGTAGCCCTTATAGACCCCTTTAAAGGAGCCCTACCCTCATAAGCCCGTTTTGCTTAGGTCTGGTGGCCTCCAGGGCGCCGTCTTCGTTGTCCTCTCAGCCTGCTTTGCCTGCGTTGCCTGCCTTTTGGCCGAGCCTCGGATCTCTTGGGTTGCGAATTTTTGGCTGTCTCGTGGCGGGGGTGTTTAGTTATCATATACTTCGGTTTAGGGTTTAGGGTTTCTTTAAGTGTTGCGACATATGCTGTTATATAGTACTTATACCCCGGAACCCTCTTCTGATTCGTAGGGGCCTTGTCTTACGGGGTTCGGTGTTTTGGAGAAATGGTGACTTAATCCGTATGTGGTTCTGAGTCGGTTCAAACTACACAATATATTTAAACAAGATGAATGAGTTTGGGAAGCAAGTTTCTAGGTGTGCATCTGGTTTGCTTTGGTGCAAGATATCGGGCTCGGGTGTTTGATGTGTGGGTTCTTGCCTCGTGGTGCTATGCAGCCAGACTCTAAAACCCTGCACCCCGTTAATCTTGGCATGCTGAAAGAACTGAAGAGATTGCGGAGATAAGATCTCGCAAGCCCAAGCTTTCCGGAAGTCAGCGGTGTAGGGTTCAGGGGTTTACGGCTTCGATTTCGGAAGAGGGACAAATGAAAGAACTTGTGTCAATAATTCCCCCCAAGCCCTGCCATCACTGAAGCGAGGATGAAACACTCCTATACACACATTGATAGCGCCCAAAGCCGTAAACCGCCTCGACCCTGTCCTGAAAGCCTAAAGCTCTAGGACCCTGAACCTATTGCTATAGTGGTCGCAATAAATGCCAAAATTCTTCCCTTGTTGGGTCTCTCATAATTCGGGTATACTATACCCCTGTAGAAGTCCCAGACAAGTGAGTCCGATCCGGAGCTTCGAGGAGCGAATTTTCAAGCAGCGCCACACCCCGCAGAGCGAGGAGGTGGAGCTTTACTGCGCCAGGAGCTCGGGAGGGAGTATATAGGGTTTAGGGTCTAGGTCTAGGACGGATTTCAGGGATTATGGCTAAGGGTTTTAGATAGGTTCGGCGTTTGAGTTTGCTTTGAGCTGCTGATTTTGGGGGTTTGCGCGATCCGGCTCAAGGTTTGGGCATGGGGTTTGGGGGTTTTCGTTTGACGTTGGATCTGAGCGCCAATGGAGAAAGCAGAACGGTCATTTAAAGGAAACTCTCAACACTTCCCTGATATAAAGTCACATGTGAGCCCCGTAATTCACCTATCATACCCTTACAAGACGAAGCCTTATACATCCCCTATGAAATCATAAAACCCACGTCTAAAAGTCGTCTAAAGACCTGTATGCAACCCTCATCAAGCCTTAAATTAGCGCATGAGTCTTATTACGGTGTTAAAATTGTTATTATTGTTATCACTGCTATTTCAACTGCTACTAATATCGTTATTATGATCATCATCATGATCATCATCATTTCTATTGCATGGAAACCGCAGACCCTAAAGAAACCCTAAAACCCTCCAAACCCCCATACTCCCCCCCCCCCCCCAAAAAAAAAATACAAACCCCAAACGCCTAACAACCCCTAAACCCTATATGAACCCCCAAACCCCTATACCACCCAAAACCCCAAAACCCTAAACCCACTGAATCCCCTAATCTGCTGAGGTGCAAAAGGCGCGCTTCGACTTTTGGGGCCTCATCACGTCGGCCCTGGTCCTGCCTCTTGGGCTTCAAAAAAGGGGGTTTAGGGTTTAGGGTTTATAGGGTTTAGGGTTTATAGGGTTCAGGGTTTAGGGTTTAGGGTTTATAGGGTTCAGGGTTTAGGGTTCAGGATTTAGGGCAGGGTTTAGGGCTCATAGGGTTTGTAGGGTTTATCAGGTTCAGGGTTTAGGGTAAAGGGGCCAAAGTTAGTTGCCAATACTACTTTGGGGCTCCTTAAGATAATTCTGGTATGCTATATGGGTGGTTGGTTGTCAAAATTAGGATCCTTTTTGGGGTCCCTGTTATAATACGGCACCTAATATTTAGGGTACCCCAAAAGGGACCCTGATTTTGACATCCACCCATATCCCAAACTCCCCAAAATGCTGTGCTAGTCATTTTCTCTTCGGCTTGGGGTTCAGGCTACACCTGGGCACTTTCGAAGCGGTTTAGGGTTTAGGGTTTAGCTTCCTATTATGATTTCGGTGAGGTTTAGGAGTTAGGGTTTAGGGGTGGTTTTAGGGTTCAGTTGTTGGGGTGTTATAGGGGTTTAGGGTTTATAGGGTTTTAGGTTTTGGGCTGTTCTCCTTTCGAAGCATTGGGTTTAGTTTAGGGTGTATAGAGTTGTAGGGCTCCTTTTCTGCGTCGATAACGGGGTCTCCAGAAAATGTAAAGTCGACAAAATTCGGAGCCTGTATATAGGGTTCAGCATTGGGTTTATGGTCTGGGGTTTGGGATTGTGAGGTTGAGGGTCATCGGTTTAGGAGCCGTGGGGGCAAGAGTCTTGCTTCTGTACAGCCTCACAGGCTCGGCAGTTTCGGTAACATGGTGGCCCCGATAATTGGTAGTTCGTACTCGTCATAGTATGGCCTTAGCATGTCCAATGAGGCCCCAACATATCTGCATCAGTTCCGCTTGGGGCTGAGCTTGGCTGGGCACTAATAGAGAAGCTGAGCAGCTCCTAGGGTTGTTGCTTAGGAGTGCCATAGTGGCAGAAATATGACATGAATAGCGAAGTTGATGAAAGAAAAACATATCCACATACACATGCATCTTTGTGTGTGTGTCATGCATACATGCATGCATGCATGCATACCTAAATACACTTATACATACATACACACATACATACTTACGTACATGCGTACATACGAACATACATACACATACATACATACATACATACATACCACCTCCAAAAGCAAAAGACAACTGTAAGGAGGCTTCAGCAGGGTAGAGCTGGTTGAGTTTGGTTTGTGTTCTCCAAGACCCTCATGGACCCAAAACCCTAAACCCCTACAGCCCTATACCCTAAACCCTTACAACCTCAACCCAAAACCCGAAACCCTGGCCCCTAACCCCTGCAAACCTTGAGCTTCGCTGGGGAGCACCAGTCCGGCAAATGTACGAAATCCTGCGTCAGCTCAGGGATCAAGGAAGCACAGGGATGTCAAGCCAGGAATCCCAAATGCTGAAGTAGATCCCAAGAAAGCGCCCCAAAACCTCCAAAGACCTCGAAGACCCCTCAAACCTCGCAGACTGTAGTTGCAATACATCCAACCTGAGAACACAGGTTATATCTTGGCGAGCCAGGGGCTCAGACTTCGGGAAGACTGCTGTGCAGATGAATTGGACATGTAGGTTTTGGAGGGTTTATAGGGTTATGGGCTAGAGGATTGTGTGCGATTGGGGGGGTATACCTGGACCCTTAGATCGGCTCCCTCTTATGATGTCCTTGTGTATATGAAAATATGCATGCACGCATGCATGCATCATACATAGATGTGCAAGTATGTCGTTAGAAAGGTGGGTTTGGGGGGTTACGGTAAGGTTTGATGGGTTTGTGGATTGGGTCAGAAGGTTGACGGTCCTGATATTTGGCACTTTGGGGTTAGAAGGCTTGGTGTTCATGGGGTTTCGGGTCTTCGCGTTGAGGGGCAAGAAGGCCTAGCAGGCGGGCCTTAGAGAGTATGTGGGATGTTCGGGGTTGAGATCGCTGGGAATTCAGTTCTTTTAGGGTTTAGGGGTTTAGGGTTTATTTGCATTGTGCTTCGTACGGAGGCATCGTGAGCAAGTGTCCTCGCCTTTCCTATGTCTGCCTTTTCGAAAGCCACATTCGACACTAGCAGCAGCAGGGGCAACTTTTTCAGATGAAGTCCGAACTGAGGTCGCGTAATTACCACCACAAGAAAAACTTCCCATGTCCACTCGTAGCCTTCGACACCGCAGATTGTCGGTGGGGGCTTTTGTTTCCTATTGACTGTTGGCCTTGACTGGGTTGTAACTGTACATATATGATCATTGCTGTTGTTGTTGTTGTTGTTGTTGTTGTTGTTGTTGTTGTTGTTGTTGTTGTTGTTGTTGTTGTTGTTGTTGTTGTTGTTGTTGTTGTTGTTGTTGTTGTTGTTGTTGTTGTTGTTGTTGTTGTTGTTGTTGTTGTTGTTGTTGTTGTTGTTGTTGTTGTTGTTGTTGTTGTTGTTGTTGTTGTTGTTGTTGTTGTGATCACTACTCTTTTTCTTCTTATTGTTTTTACTATGAATCTCCGTTGTTGTCATTATGATTACTACTCTTTTGCTTCTTATTGTTTTTGCTATGAATCTCCCAGACTCCCAGAGCTCTGACGCCAGGCCGCCCTCGGTTCAGTTGTACAGAGATTGGACCTACCTTCAGGCCAAAGCCTACAAGCCTACCTGTGGTTAGTAGGGAAGAGGGCTCCTTTAAAGGGATCTATAGGGGTTTAGGGCTCCTTTAAAGGGATCTTTACCTTTGGTTAGTGGGGAATGGAGGATTGATAGAAATAGTGGTTATAACTGTACCCCATTCCTCCATTCCCTACTAACCAAAGGTAAGAAAGCTGTACTTCGGAGTTCGCAGCTTTTGGAGTTCATGGCATCCGGTTTGGCCGTGGGGTTTAAGCTCGGAGTTCGAGCTCTTGTAGCTTTTGGAGTTCATTGCTTCCGGGTTGGTGGTGGGGCTTGAGCTCGGTGCAAGTTGAACCATGCCACCCTCTTGCACACGCACCGCCTTGACCAGAGCTACCGGTGACTGACGGGCCGTTCTTGCGTAAGAAACAGAGAGCACCGCAAAACGAAACACTTCGAAGATTCCCGCCGACAGCAGCAAGGCCCCTGAAGCGCAAGGCGAAATCCAGAATCCCAAAGCCCTTGCAAGCCTCTGCCCTTAGACCGAACCCCTGGATACCCAAGCCCTCCCAAATCCTCAAAGGCACAGAAGCCCCAATATAGAGTAATTAACCAGTTTCATCAGATCACAATAGTCACATGGATGTACAACAATACCAGCACCAATAATATGTGTCTAATCTCCTTGTAGTCCTTATAGTAACGATACTGCTATACTACTAGACACCACACAAACCCTAAACCCTAAACCCCACTCCTAAAGCCCCGGACAGGTCGGGGCGGTTCTCCTTCGCGTAGTGCAGTCCCTCATGGCTGGATTGGGCCTTAGAAAACGGGACCAGCAGAAGTTATACTTGGAGGATCATGGGACTTCCCTTATAAAGGGATCTATAGGGTTCCTTAAATTGAAGGGATCTTATAGGGCTCCTTAAAGGGATCGATAGGGTTTAGGGATTATAGGGTCTACTTGGGAGGATCATGGGACTTAGTAAGTACGGCTACAAATACCTTAATTATTGGGGTTATAAGTATAGTTACCCCGATTGTAACCCTAGTTGCTAAGTCGCATGATCCTTCAAGTAGGGTGTCCTTCCGCTCCTTAGTAGGCTCGAGCTTAGGGTTTGGGGGATAGGGGAGGGGGAATTCGGGCCCATGGGGTTGAGGGTCTAGGGAGTAAGTAGTAATATGTCCTTTACTTCCTGTAGGATATGGTGTGCTAGGGCCTTTGCTTCCCAGATATCCAGCTATACTTACCTTTGGTGAGTAGGGAATGAAGGAATGGGATACAATTTTTATTAATATTCCTACCATTCCTCCATTCCCTACTAACCAAAGGTAAGTGTAGGCTCTTAGCAGCCCTGCGGAATGATCGAGGGTTTAAGTCAAGGCCACCTGCACAGTCTTTAAGGTTGAGGCTTAGACTTGAGCGTTGAGGAGTGTAGTTGCGGTTGCAGTACTTAAATTAAAGGGTCATGGGACTGAGTCACTATAGGGTTATAATTACGGTAACCATACTTACAAACCTAATTAAGGTACTTATAACCTTACATACTAAGTCCCATGATCCTCCAAGTAGTGGTCGGGCATGCAAAGTGAATTGGACTGAGAGTCGCAGGCCTTCGGTTTCCAAAGGCTTTCTGCAGTCATAGGATGTTCGTTGCGTACCTTCTACACATTTTAGGCCATGAAGTAGGCCATGCCAAAACAAGGTACTACATTCTAGCATCTAGGTATTTCAATTCATGTAGGAGATGTCTGCAGGGTTGTGGGTTACGTGTAATTTGCCGAGCACAGGCCTACTGGTCAAGCGTTGGTCGACGGTGGCCAAAGCCGCAGCTCGACTTCACATACAAGTTTCAGCTTTGGCTTCAGGTTTGTTTTGAAACTTGTTCATCGTTTGACTGTTTGGCACGCTGCTGCCACGTGCCTTCTAATTTGGTGTGATCTACTGCACAGGGTGTTTGTTAGGAGGCTCTTGCTGACAGTTTCATCCGATCCAGCTACTTCAGGATGACTCTCTACGGGTCATAATTTGTACCATTGCTTTGAAACCCCACCCCCGACGAATCATGCACGAGCAGGGCCTTAAGTTGAAATCGGCAAGTCGGTTTTAAACTGCTGCCACTGGTCGCTTGGTTTTAGGAGGAGAAGGGAATGGCAATGCTGCCCTTGATTCAAGTCCCCTGGACTCGCCGCTATACCTTCAATGCTCTTGAACCCAAGCTCGCGCTTACGGCCAAGGTGCTGCAAAGCTTGTCGATGCTTCTCGTGTTCTTCTTGGGGGATGTCGCATTTTTGGGCCGTGGGCAGGGCAACCTCTGCCGCTTGACCGAAGGTGTAATACAATCGAACATGATGCAACGAGAAAAAATAGCAGAGTATCGTATTATGCAATTGCGTATAACTATGTAAAACTCCAGTATAAAATATCAATATAATCAGTACAATATATCAACATAATGTAGTCTACCCGGTCTCGGATAGCCGGGCAAAATGCCGTTTACAGGAAGAGCCCTTTGATTCCTTTGATCGCGAGAGGAGCATCGGCTTTGATCTTCCGCTGTTTTGTGAGTTGGGGTTTTGGGTAGGGCTTAGGATTTGGGGTTTAGGGCCAGGATGTTCAGAATGCAGGGGCTCAGCTTAAATGGGAGTTTCCGAAAATTGGGGATACCTTAATTTTTTGGGTGGTTCTTTTAACAAGGATCCTACTTTGTAGGGCACTATATCAGGATCCCCTACTTTCGGCAACCCTCATAATATGCCGAAGGTTCTCAGGCGGGGGTCTGGAGAGATCACAGATCCGGCCAGCAAACCTTCCCTCGCCCTCCTCCGCATCGACGCCGAAGTTCCCGAAGCATTGTCTGGCGTGGTTGTTCAGGCAGACAACTTCAGGCTTTGCAGCTCTTGGGCATGTTGTCGCTTGAATTCGGAGCACATAGTAGGCTGTGAACCCTTTTCAGAGTCCACCATCAGTCTCATGCCCGCGTTGCCAGGTATATACATGCTGGCCCTTCTGGTCTCACTGGCGGCATTCATGCACCTTCGCCGATCAGTCTGTCGTTTTGGTGGTTTCGGCTCGGGGTAGGAAGGGTATATTGGCATCTTTGCTGGCGTGGTTATACCTGGGCTTGAAACAGAAGCTTTCCTTCCAGCGCCTCGGATAGATGTTTTCAATTTCACCCCACCCAATACACCCTCCGAAGGACTACCGACAATGTACGGATGGGCAACCACAGCTCAAGAGTTTACGGAAGTCCGAAAGCTGGAAGAGCGATTCCCTGAGCCCTAAACCCCAAGCCCAACACCCCATACAAACCCTTAATAACCCCCTATCCCAAAATCCTCCACCCTAAACCCCAAAACCCCGAACCCAAAGCCCCGAACCCGAAACCCCGAACCCGAAAGCCTAAACCCGAGGTACCAGCTGGGGCGCCGACAGACAATGCACTTGCTCGAGGCATCTCAGGGCTTCGAACACTTTGGGCTGTCGGCGTCTGGTACGTAATTGTCCGAAATGAAGGGTTTCAGGGTTTACAGGGTTTAGGGTTTGTTTGCTTTCACTTGCATTTTACATTCTAATGGTTTGTGTGAGGGCGGCTTGAGGTATCTCAGGGGCTTCGAGTTTTCGGTGTTAATACGGGTGTGACAGCAACGACCCGCTCAGACAGGAGCAAACAAACCACGGGGATGCCCCGGCGATTTGCGGTTTGTTGGTATTTTCGGCTTCGAAAGATTCTCCGAATCGGTCTCTCCCCCAGGGTGTCGAACAACTACTTACTAATATTAGCAATAATAGTAATAATAGTAATGATAGTAATACTAGTAATCATAGTACATACCATCGCTTCGCCCGAGATGCGAACCCGGAACCGCTGACCGCGACCTGAACCACTCCTCGAGCTCTGATACCAAAGTCGGCGTTTTGCCCAGGTGGCCTCTTCAGAGAGCCTTTCCGAGATCACCGAATCCGAGGCTGCTCGAAGAGTGAAGGTTTCGAGTTTGGGGGTTGTGGGTGCAAAGCTTGAAAGCCTAAACAAAGGGGCTTCAATCATTACCAATACTATTTTGTTGGTTCCGTTTCATAAGTATCGTATAATATGCGCTCAAACACTATTATGGTACAAATGCCAGTAAATATAACGAGCCAAGTCGCCAGGTCTCCTACAACCCAGCCTAAAGCCCTGCATGACTAACAGAGGGTTTCGGGTTTAGACTTAAGGATCACGGTGTTAGACCAAATCCAACATCAGATCGTCTCATGTGATGCAATTGCAGGAGCCGGCAGGCCTGGCAACTAAAACACCCTAAGGCTCCGAGTGCCGAACGAGTATCAATAGGTACTTGAACGATAAAGGTACATGGAGCTTTCTTTCGGGACAACATAGCCGCGTAACTCTCCCCAATACCTTGCAAGGCCCAGCATTGTGGGAAGCAATCAATCAACACATTTAGTATGTATATGTATGCATGTATACATGTACGTTTTTATTGCATGTATGTGTGGGTGTTTGTATGTGTGTATGTGTGCATGTAGCCGTGCGTGTTTGTATGTTTTGTATGTAGATATGTATGCATGCGTGTACGTATGTTCGTATGCATGTATGTTCGTATGTATGTTTGTATGTATGCATGTACGTATGTATGTATATGTATGTATGTGTACATATATATATATATATATAGATATGTATATTCTCAGGCAAGAGACGGTCATGGCACCATAAAGACCATCAAGACTCCAGCGCCTGAATCCTGAAGACGCCTATCTACCTCATGCCCGAGCTGCTGGCTGGCCCAGATCCCCAAAACTCCCTTCGGCCGAACCTGTAGCACGGGCAAGAAACTCCCTTGGAGACAAAACTTAAAATCCCAAACCCCCAAACCCCCAAAACCCTCAACGCACAAACCCTAGACCCTAAACCCCAAAACCCTAAACCTCTAAACTCGAAACCCTAAACCCCTAGACTCTAAACAGACACCCGAAAGACAGAAACTCTCAAACTCCGCCGCGAGGCCTCTGTGAGCTTCCAGCGGACTCATTCGGATCCGACGGACCGTGGCCTGAAGCCTGCAGTTTCGGGTTTGTGGAGGGTTTATGCAGTAGGAGCTCCCATTAAGGGCTCCTTTAGGGTTTGTGGAGCCCTTATAGGGTTTAGGGGCTGGCCTAAGAGTACCAAAATCCATCCTTCGGCTGAAGGCTTAAGCTGAAGGTTGGGCTTTTGGTGTTTCAGGGACTTCGGGATCGTGTATTTTTGGACTAGAAATCGTTGCAATTACGCGAGCGATGACGAGTATGTGCATGTCCGTCATCATCAGCGCCACCTGACCGTAGTCACCATCGTCACGGTCACCAGCACCATCACCATGCTCTTCGTCGTGGCCAGCAAGTCGTTCTGCTCCTCCCACATGTCCTCATATTTCCTCCTCCTCCTCCTCCTCCTCCTCCTCCTCCTCCTCCTCCGCCGTCTCCTCGTCCTCCTACTTCCAGTTCCCCTCATCATCATCAGGGTCAACATCGCCGTCACCATCGCCGCCATCGGTTTCGTCCGCAGCCTTAAGGGTATCGGGTTTAGACCTTTACAATGACAAGGTTCAGCTCAGGGTATAGGGTTTAGCCCTAAACCCCAAACCCTAAGCCATTCGAATTCCTACGTGGAGGATCATGGGACTCAGTAAGTACGGTTATAAGTCCCGTAGTTGGGTGTTATAAGCATTAGTTAACTTCATTATAGCTCTAGTTACTACGTCCCATGATCCTTCAAGTACTTCGTCCTTTTGCCCCTTTCAGGACAACCGTCGTGGTCGATCTCTGCTGCCACGGCCGCGGATAAGCTCAGAAGAGGTGCCAGCCTAACACTGCAAACCCTACCTGGGAGTTTCCGACAATAGGGGACCCTAATTTTGTACCCCATATAATAGGATCCTTGTTATAAGGACCCCCCCAAAATAAGGTACCCCTAATTTTCGGAAACCCCCACCTTGGCATTGGTTCGATTGTTTCCCCTACAAGCTTCCCAGCCATTTGTGTTTTGGTATAGCGAACCTGAGAAACCCCCTAGTCTCTACTTGGAGGGGCAGGGGACTTAGTAACTTAGTAAGTAGGTTATAATGTTGGGTTATAATTGGGGTAACTCCGATTAGGGTACTTATAACTCTACTTCTAACCTACTTGCTAAGTCCCCTGCCCCTCCAAGTAGTATAGTTGTGTTGGCTTCTACGATTTAACGATTGCTTCATGCGGCTTCTTTCCGGACGTCCACATGTCCTGCGGATCCACGAAACTCTCAGACTTCCAAGCCCTTTTGCTACACAAGCCCGAGCCCTAACACCACCCAAACCCTGAACTCCAGACCCTATAACCCCAAAAGCCTCAGAACCTTCATCGATATGCGGTATACATCTTGCATGATCCTAACCCCGAAAAGCCTCTTAACCTTCATCGAAATGCCGTATATACATCTTGTATGACCCTAGCGAAACCCTCCCTGAAAGGTTCAGCCGGCCGACTATCAGGTTTGCTGTCCATCGGAGTCCCTTTGATGCCAGTGTCATAGAATTTTTGTTTCTGCACGTTTGGGATATTAGAGTTTTGGTGTTCAGAGTTTTGGGGTTTGGGGTTTGGGGGTTTGGGGTTGAGGGGGGTTGTTTGGGAGGTTTTCGGGCTTGGGCACTTGGGTTTTGTAGTTAGGGGCGTGCCTTCTGCATCCCTGTAAGCCCCAAAACCTAGACGAACTCTAAACCCAGCCGTATGACGCAAACCCCGCAAAGTATTCTGCTGGCTTACACGAGTGGTAGCACATGAGTATACTCAAACATCAGAACAAATCAGCTTAAGTTTAACGGTAAAGCAATGAAATAACTTTTATACGTGTGTATATATATATATATACATATGTATATACATACATAGAAGTTATGTAAGTTGTTTGTGCAGGAGGGTACAGTAGTTGTGACCATAATGCAAGGTTCAACCTCCACAGGACATGCAGGGAGTTTCCCTCAACCATCTTCGAAACTCCAAGCCCCCAGAAATACGGAATCAGCCTTGGATTATCGGGAGGATTCCGAGTAATGATTTAAGGTGTGTGCTTTAATCCAGGGTTTTCGAGTCTTTGGGATTCCCAAAACTTTTGGATGGCAAGAGCCAGGGCTCAAAGAGACTTCCTCTGCACCAGCACTCGTTTCACCCGCAATACCCCGAGCCCGTGTTGGTGCCTTCAAGAGTATCGAAGCCTTCAGATCCAGCGAAGAGAGCCCACAAGGCCCAATACTAAATTGGTCTCTGGAAGCACATAGTGCTTGACATTGCAGACCCACTCCTCACCCTGAAGCCTAAACCCTCAATTACTACGTAACTCATTACGGATGAAGTAGCCATCAAGACCCTAAACCCTTAAAACCCTGAGTTCTGTCATCGTTAAGCCCATTGAGCCCTTAAGCCCTAAACCCTTAAGCCAATTAAGCCCTTAAGTCCAATAAGCCTTTAAGTGCTGAACCCTTAAGCCTATTAAGCCCTTAAGCCCATTAAGCCCTTAAGCGCTAAACCCTTAAGCCCATTAAGCCCTTAAGCCCTAAACGGCCCTAAACTCCTTAAGCTCTTAAGCTCTAAACCCTTAAAATCCACTAAGGTTCACGCCGGTGAGCCCTCAGCAGCTCCTCGCACAGCGGCTGCCGCAGCTTCCCGAGGTCGACCAGCTGGAGCTCCTTGGCGATCACTTCCCTGGAGCTCCAAATGGGAGTTTTCGAAAATAGGGGACCCTTAGGGTTCCTTTAAAGCGTGCCATAAGGGCTCCTTAAAAGGATCTATAGGGTTCTATACAGGGTTTAGGGCTCAGGGTTTGGGGGTTTCCGAAAATAGGGGACCTAATATAGTACCCTCAATGGTAATTAGGATGCGTATTCTAAGGACCCCAAAATAAGGTTCCCCTATTTGTCGGAATCTCCCAAATAGCGCAAAGCAGGTACTAGTTGTATACTTCGAACCAAGGGTTTCAATTCCTAGAAGCCGCGCAGTTATCTTTATCTTCTGCGGTTTAGGGTTTAGGGTTCTTTTTGTAGGGTCTAGGCTTGGGGCCTGCAGGATTGGGGCTTGTAAGCTTAGGCAATTATCACCTCATGTCCTACAGCTACTGCTACTACTGCTACTGCTACTGCTACTGCTACTGCTACTGCTACTGCTACTACTACTACTACTACTACTACTACTACTACTACTACTACTACTACTACTACTATTACTACCACGACTGCTACTGCTACTGCTACTCTTCTGCCGCGGCCACAGCGTGCATCCCGCGACCAGGGTTTTGGACCAGCGCTGGCTGGAGCAGGAGCGGAGCCGGAATTCGCAGTTCGCCAATTGGATCTCTTCAAAGAAGCTTGGCGATGCACTTTAAGGTTTCGGGCTGACAGGCTTTAGGCGCTCAGGGGTTTAGGATTTGGGGGCTTCAGGTTTTAGGGTCTACGGAAGGTTGAGGAAACTTAGCTAGATTTGGCTGGTTCAAGCATAGGGTGGGTGGGGGCCCACGCGGCTTGCGGAACTGGCAAGCCCAACACCCCGAAGCCTTGTGCAGCCTAAGTCTCTGCTCCAAGATTCTAGAACCTCTCCCTGTTTGCCAAGGCGTGGAGTGCTGGTGCAGCTACTCTGCGTAGCGGCACCCTGTTCGCACAAGTAGGTTAGCGAGCACTATATAGTGCTCAGGAGTTAGGATCACGACTAGGCTTCGGACTTGCAGAGTGAAGCACGAGCCCGGGTTGAGAGATTGCGGTAGCGATGCCCGCACGAAGCCAGGGATGCAACACCAGGGCTCGGGATCTTTGTCGCGGCTACAAGCATCCCAAAATCATTCTTCTTTGGCTTCCCCGTGGTATTGGCGGTGTCGGAAAGGGGTCCTTAAAGCCTTATCTGGGAAGGGGGGCTGGTTCCACTGCCGTGTCCTGTTGTGTACACCCATGCGTGTAGATATGTTGGCTTGCAGGTGCCTCGATACAGCATTCTGAGATGGCTCAGAGATGATAAGAATACTATTTGGCTCTGAAGCCACCCTGAAACTTGCATAAGTCCATGAAGCGATGATGCAAAGTCGAGTGTAGATGTAGGCACAGCCACGGTAAGTTAGCATCTATGCATGTACACATGTAGGTTGGAGGGTAGGCAGGCAGGTATGCATGTTCGTCTGCGAAACTAAGTACATAGATAAAGTGATCTGTGCATTTCCACTCGCACATATATAAGGAGCTGAGTGGCCAGCATCTGTAGGAGCTCAGTGATTTTTTCGACGCATGAGTCAGAGAAGAACGGAACTCACGCTGTGTTCTATCCCGCTGGGTGTGGAAGAACCAATACATGTCACTCATCGTCCCCCTACTTCCTTAAAGACCAAATGACCCGCATAAGTAGGGGTCCTATACCCTTGTACTATGAATCCCCATATGTGACAGGGAAAGCCCCAAAGTTGGAAACACAATAGCCTCAATCTTTAAGAGTAATATAAAGGGAATCCCAGCACTATTTGGCCTTTATCCGGTTTCCAACTTTTTGGGGTGTACTTTATATGAAGCTTAAACCCTTTTATGCTTCATGTCGTCCATACGGTTACCGGCTTGCGAGTCGACAGCCGTGCCTTGACACTCCCTGCGCTCAGATCTTCGTCTTCTTTGATTCGGCAAGAACGATTGTGTGCCTTCGCGCAGTTGGCTAAGCAAGGATGGTCTGAGTGTGGGATCTTCTTAGTAGTCCGGGTGCCCGGTGCCCTGTTTGGTGCTGTGGCAGGGTCCCTTGCTTGCACCAATTCCCCAATCCCTGATTTCGTTAATTTCCCGAGTGAGAAGCTTAAGGTTGAAGATTTCGTTTTGGAAAACTCTGGATTGAGCTCACTGGAAGTTTGATGGCTCTAGAATAGGCGGAAAAGAGCAGCTTGTTCTTTCTGCAATGGCTCTTCTGTTGTCCAGGTGACTCTGTATATAAGGCTCCGACGATTTTCCGGTCCTCAGAGCACAAAAAAATGATGTCGACCGCTTTATTGATGTTACCCTAAACCCTAAACCCCAAACCCTAAACCCTAAACCCTAAACCCTAAAAAACCCTAAACCCTAAACCACAAACCCTAAAAAACCCTAAACCCCAAACCCTAAACCCTAAACCCCAAAAAACCCTAAACCCTAAACCCCAAACCCTAAACCCTAAACCCTAAAAAACCCTAAACCCTAAACCCTAAACCCTTTCCAAACCCGTCTTATGGCAATGGTCCTCACCACTCGCAGCCCCAAAGGGACCCTAGGGCTCCAGTTATACCTAAATAGGAGGTTACTGGGGTATAGAATATCTAGGACCTAGAGTAGGGCCTTATTCCCTTTTAAAGGGTTCAGGTTCCCTTATAAGCCCCTTTCAACCAAAAAGGGCACCCTTTTTCTTCATAGGTTACTGGGGTATAGAATATCTAGGTTGGATTTTTGGGACATTTTCTATTTTCCTTATTTGGGTTTATAAGGGACCCTAGGTATAAATATTTTTGAGGGTGTTTAACGGCTAACCCAGATATATGGTTAGTAACATACTATTTAGGTGACTGGAGCCCTAGGGAGAGCTGAGGAATGATCAGTTCATCCGAAGTGCTCCTATCGTCTCTCAGTCGATCACCTTCTCACAATTTGGAGCTTCCGTGGCAGCAGCCGCGGCTGCAAGAAGGGTCTGAGCCTTCCGACTTTCGAACATATCCTATTACTGGTTGATTGTTATGAGGGCAGGTTCGAAGATCTGAGTTACGGCGCAAGTCTCTACTTGAACACTCCGAGAGGTTTGAAGTTCATGCAAGGTGTAAGGTGAAGTGAAGTTGGCAAGTTTGTGCTTTGTAAGATCCCTAAAGAGGATTCCGTTGCAATACGATCCATAGAGCTTCTATGAAGGTCAAAGGGTCCTATGTACTGTTATGGGGCATACTCCCCTAAGTCATGATCGTAATTCCTAACATGGAAACCCTACATTCTACTATATGGGAGTTGCCAAAAATTAGGGGTACCCTGTTTTGGGGGTCCTTATAATATGGATGCTACTATTTAGAGTGCTATATTAGGGTCCCCTATTTTCGGAAACTCCCATTTCGGTACATAGGACCCTTTGGGAAGGTCACATTGACACAGGGAACGACCCCTACGACGATTTATTCTTTGCAGTAGATCGCCTCCACCTTCAGGACGACATGAACCCTAAAAGGGTTTAAGATTCATATACCACATAGTAATTCATAGCAGATGGGCCCTAAACCCTAAACCCTACATCCCCCAAGCCCCGGTCTCCCCTGTCCGAAACTTTATGAGCCCTACTTGGAGGATCATGGGACTTACTTAGGTTCCTTTAAGGGCTCCTTAAAGGGATCTATAGGGTTCCTGAAAGGGATCTATAGGGTTTAGGGATTAGGGTCTACTTGGAGGATCATGGGACGTAGTAAGTCAGGGCTATAAGTACCTCAATTGGGGTTATAAGTATAGTTACCCTAATTATAACCCTAGTGACTAAGTCCCAGTATCCTTTAAGTAACCCTAAAACCCCCCCTCTTACAGAGCCCTTATAGATCCTTTTTTAAGGAACCCTAGTTACAATTTGCCCGAAACCCTAAACCCTAAACCGAAGAATACCCTAAAACCCCTCTTATAGAGCCCTTATAGAATCCCTATTAAGAAGCCCTTGAAGGAACCCTAGGTACTAAGTCCCATGATCCTTGAAGTACCCTAAACCCCCCCCCTTCTTATAGAGCCCTTACAGATCCCCATTAACGGAACCTTTAAGGAACCCTAGTTACTAGTCCCATGATCCTTGAAGTACCCTTTATTGAAGCCCCTAATTATCTCTTAATGAGAAATATCAAAATCGCCCAGTGAACCCTACCATCTACCCGAAACCCTAAACCCGTTTTGAACCGAAGAATATCCTAAATCACCAAAAGGTCGGCTCCTAAAACCCACTCTCTTATAGAGCCCTTATAGAATCCCTATTAAGGAGCCCCTTAAGGATCCCTGGTTACTAAGTCCCATGATCCTTTAAGCATCCTAAAACCCCTCTTCTTATAGATCCCTTTTTAAGGAACCTAAGTCCCACGATCCTTGAAGTACCCTAAATCGCCAAAAGGTCGGCTTGGGAGTCACCGGCCTCGTGGACGGCCGCGCTGGGCTTTGGGAGGCCTTAGCCTGGAAGGCGCCAGCGGCTCGGGGTTTGAAAGGCGTTGAGGGTTCCTTTTAGGGGGCCTTTATGGACTCTAAGGGGTCTTATAAGGCCTTAAGCTAGGGTAATTATAGGGTTTAGGGTTTGAAAGGCTTTACAGGTTCCTTTTCTCGGACCTGGGACCTGGAGTAGACCCTTATTCCCTTTTTTAAGGATCCGGTTCCCTTATAACCCCTTTAGACCAAAAAGGGGACCCTTTTTATTCCTAGGTTACTCTTGGGTCTAGTTTTTGGGAGCCTTTAAGGACTCTAAGGGATCTTATCAGGCTTTCGGGGGAAAGGGGTTTACGGTTTAGGATTTTAGGCCCATGGTTTAAGGCTTTGAGGGTTTCTTTTAGGGACCCTTTAAGGAATCTAAGGGGTCTTACAAGGCCTTAAGTTAGGGTATAGGGTTTATTTAAGTTTTAAGGGGGGTTTAGAGGTTAATTAGGGTGTGGGGTTTACGACTTAGGGTTTAAGGTTCAGGCTTCAAGGCTTTAGGCATCCTTTAAGGGATTGAGGGTATAATGTTTATTTGAGGTTTAAGGTCTGTAGCCGTCAGGTTTGAGGGTCTTGGGTTCAGGGTTTTTGGGGTTGACGGGTTTTCGGATTTAGGGCAAAAAGAAAGGCTTGAAGGGCTCCTTGCAAGGTGTAGGGTTATAACGGTTACTGTAGTTTTTTGGGGTTCGCCCGGCACTTTTTACTGGGCTTTTAGGGTTGGGAGTTTAGGGCGCCAGTGCTCGGATTTAGGGTTTGGGGTTTTGGGTTTAGGGTTTAGGGTTTAGGGTTAGGGTTTAGGGTTTTGGGTTTTGGGTTTTGGGTTTAGGGTTTAGGGTTAGGGTTTAGGGTTTAGGGTTAGGGTTTAGGGTTTAGGGTTTAGGGTTAGGGTTTAGGGTTTAGGGTTAGGGTTTAGGGTTTAGGGTTTAGGGTTTAGGGTTTAGGGTTAGGGGTTTAGGGTTAGGGTCTAGGGTTAGGGTTTAGGATTTAGGGTTTAGGGTTTAGGGTTAGGGTTTAGGGTTTAGGGGTTAGGGGTTTTGGTTTGGGGTTTTGAAACCTGGGCTGTAGTTCTGCATGCTGGGATGTTTTCTGGCAAGGTGTCTCTCTGCATCGTATGCAGCGGTGTGCATAGTACAGAAGTCTGAAAGTCACCAATATGAGTGCCACGGCCAAAATTCTGTTCTCAAGGCCCTTATACACAAAAAGGATGGATTAATGTGGAACCGTAGAGCTTTCTTTTCGCCTTTGAGGACGTCTTGCGATCCTTTCCCGTGGCGGCTTGCTTCTCCTTGAGCCAGACCTTTACCATCATGGCCTACAGTGCCGGGGTGCTTCGGCATGCAAATTTCAAGAGACTTCAAGTGTCGGAGTGTCGGGTTTATGGAATCCAGAGCCCCCTGTTGGAAGCAATATTATTGCGGGGAAGACAGTGAATTCTGAGCATGATTCCTGGACCACTGAGTTTGTGCACACAGAACGGGGGTCCCGGTCTGGCAGTGTTACTACTGTGTTCCGGCTACTGTTGGTTGTCTTCCGCTTGCAGTTGTTTGTTCTCATACTGCTGCCAGGTCAGCGGAATGGAGAACACGGCGCCCCGGCTTCACATCACGCTCATCGTTTAGAGAATTCATGCTGCTGCTTAGCAGCCACGATGATCTTGACAAGCACCACAACCTCAGACCCTGCCCCCCCGAACTGCTTTCCCGATTGCTTTTGATGACCTCGCATCTTCTCTCAGTGGAGAAGCACATCTTATCCCAGGGTTCCAGTTGCCCAAATACTCGCAGTAGGTTGCTGTTGTAAATATTTTAAACGTCTACCCCAGCTAGTCATTTCAATAGCAACATCTAGCGGTCCAGGAAGTAGCCTGCCATATTGCCAACTGCTAAATGGAGTGCTCTGCACCAGGAAGCCATGTAGTATAGGGGCCTTAACTATTACCTATACTATGTTGGGGGTTCCTTATTATAACTACAGTATACTGGGCACAAAAACCTATTCTAATTATTAGGACTCCTATATTGCCTTAAAAAAGGCTCAAAAGTAAAACCATATTACCTGTTATTCAGGGACCCAAAAAGGACACAAGCATAAGCATTTTATAGGGATATCCCTAGCTTGTTGGGCTTCAGGGGCCCTAGTTATACAACTGTTAAGACCGTTGAAGACCTTATAAAACCTTCTCAGACTCTACAAACAGCGGACCCTGTAAAAGCTCCTTTAAAGACCCTATAAGGCCTTCTAAAACCCACGAAGAGTCTGGAAAGCCTTATCAGACCTTTTAAGAACCTATTACGGCCCTATAAAACCTATGAGAAACCTACAAAAGCCATTGAGGTCGTCGGCAACGTCTACCTGCCACTCAGCGCGCTTCTGAGCCGGTGGATCTTTCGCCGATCGTACAGCTCCTCGGCTGCGGCTCAGGATTTGTATGGTTCAGGGTTTATGTGGTCTAGGGATTGGGTATAGGGTATAGAGAGTCTAGCGTATAGCGGTATAGCGCCTACCCTGGGTTGCCGTCCCACAGTTGCTGTCCTGCTCGTCTCAGCCTTAAGCTGTATCAATCCTGATCACCGTGATTAATGCTATTTCTCCACAAGATGGCAGCAGCAATCATTGTGGCCGTGATTCGTATTTGTCGAAGGTTGGAGAACGCTGAAGAGTCAAAACCCGCAAAGAAGCATTGCATCCGATGTTGAATGCAGATCGCAAAACTGAGCATAAACTCTGACGAGCGTCTCCTGTTGAGGCTTTCTGGAGTGGATCGCTCTCACCGAGACTTGGGCAGAGCATGTGGATCGTTGAGGTTTTAGAGCTTCAGAGTCGGCTGAAAAAGTTTTTTGTTGTTGTTTTGCTGGGTTTGTGGCAGTTTTATGGCAGCGAGGCATGAGTTTGCCCTTGTTGTGCATGCCTTTGCCTCGGATCAGGCAGACACAGTCTCTTGAAAGACAACGTGTTCCGGGAGAGGATTTCAGGGGCTACGGGAGAGGTGTCAAAGTTTCGAGGTTCATGTAGGTATCAAAAGCATGGTTCGTGTTGATAGCAGCTCTATGTATACCCAGGAATCAGTGCAGGCATGTCGTCTGATCTGTGAAGATGCCTTTTTCTGGCCGTTTATGGCTCGCATCATCCCAGATTCTTAGAGGTTGACCCGTGGAACCCGCTGAATGCTGAAGGCCTTGAAAGCACTGTCCACCCTCCGTCAACCTCCCCCCGATGTCAGAGGTAGGCTTTCAGTTTTATCTACATCCTGAATTGTAGTACTTTCTTCGCAGCAACTGTTGAAAGTTCACGGCTGGGTTGTACAGTATTCAGGTACAACCGAGAAGACAAGCAGTGAAGTACAGTTTGTCAGGGTCCCGCTGGGATTACTGGCCACATGTCGCAGTGCCTGCCTGGAAGATCTCCGACACCTCCGAGTCTACACGCCAGCTTGGCCAATGTGGAGGACGTTCCTGAGAACAAGAAGCACCCCTACTCTGTAAACCTGGTAGTGACCTTAGACCCCAGACCTCCAAACCCAAACTGATCTCCAAAAACTTGCTCTTAATCCCGAAACCCATCCATCGAGTTTGCTAGCCTCGGTTCAGCCGTTGAGCTTGCAACACTATTATCCAAGCTCCAGGGAGACCGTTTCCAGAGCATCGTTAGGGTTTAAGAATTAGTACACAAGCTCGTACTGTCTTCCTTCTTCTCTACTGCTTCACGCAAGTCTTGCGTCTTTTGCAAGAGCCGAGAAATCCTTCTACCCAGGCTTCTCCCCAGATCCTCTTCCCCATGTACACCGTCGCCACCGAAAGATTGCTGGAGATGAACCGGATCGAGCCGCACGAGGAGCTAAAGGCCGGACCTGGAGAGAAGTGGGGTTTTAGGTTCAGGGTTCGGGGTTTAGGGTTTCGGGTTTGGGGTTAGGGTTTGGAGATGAGGACTTGGGTTCTGGGGCTTGAGGTTTACTATACCTGCATGCCTGTCATTCAGGATCACAGGGGCTCTCTTAGGACCTTTGGGCAGGGGGGGAAAGGACCGGGTAGATGCCCCTCAACCCTAAACCGCATTGCCCATAGATTGACCGATGCAGGCCAGGGGCCATGTGGTTATTTTCGAGCAGAGCATGGGGAAGGCCTGCCTCGTTTCACATCAGTGGGTTGCCAAGCAACATCCTGATCCCGATTCTTACCTTTGGTTAGTAGGAAGGATGGGAAGAATGGTAGTAATAGTAGTTATATAGTAGTAACATGGTAGTAATATGGTAGTTATATGGTAGTAATATGGTAGTAGTTGTAGTAGTAGTAGCAGTAGCAGGAGTAGTAGCAGTAGCAGTAGTAGTAGTAGTAGTAGTAGTAGTAGTAGTAGTAGTAGTAGTAGTAGTAGTAGTAGTAGTAGTAGTAGTAGTAGTAGTAGTAGTAGTAGTAGTAGTAGTAGTAGTAGTAGTAGTAGTAGTAGTAGTAGTAGTAGTAGTAGTAGTAGTAGTAGTAGTAGTAGTAGTAGTAGTAGTAGTAGTAGTAGTAGTAGTAGTAGTTTTAGTAGTATTTATAATTCTACCCCATTCCTCCATTCCCTACTAACCAACGGTAAGGAGTTCAAGCAGATGAGCGTGCTGAAGGAGGCCTTGTTGCGGCTCCTGAGCAGTCAGGGCACTCTTCCGCCCCATCCCGTCACGGAAGTCTTCGTGCCTTCTGCCAAAGGCATCCCCTTCGAAGACTTCCGGTCCCGGCCGTTGTTCTTCTGGTACGACTACTTCAGTATCCCGCAGTTGGAGCAACGCTCGGGGTATGGTGCAGACGGCGGAGATGGCAGCAACCAGGCAAAGGCCATCCGCAGTATCCCTGCCTATGTTGCGAAGTGTAGCTACTTTTTCGCGCTGTGCCCCACGATCGACTGTCCTTTGGAGGGAAGCGTGCTGAACGCAGCGACATGGACCAGGTGGCGCAAGACTTGTCCTTTTTTGTTTGTTGTTTTATCTGGCAGGTTTGCAGGGAATGGCGTTTGTAGATTCCTATGACAGCCCCATAATCCGTGGCCGCAAGTGGGTAGCGTTGACGTTTTAGTATTCTGAAAATGCTTTGCACGTGAGCTGCAACACACACGAAAATGGCAATCGCAACAGAAGTAGTTATAAGCACCACAACCAATGCCAGGCGCGGCTGGTGCCGACTGGAGCGAGCATCGCGCGAGCTTTCCAAAAATGGCACCTGGATCCTGATACAGAGTGCTGCTGCCATAGAGCTTGTCGGCACCGCGCTTTCTTTGGTTACGGGATGCATTGGTGAAGGAGAATTTACCGTGGAGGGCGATCGACTTAAACTCGCCCCGGTGATGAAGGCTATCGTGAAGCGGAAGCTGATCGTGTCTCTCCAAAGTGGGGATTTTCCCAGCTACCGCCAGCATTACAACCTGCAGGCTTTCCATCTCAGATACGAAACCTATCAGTTGCTTCATTCCGACCTCAGATGTCAAGCACCCCGGGGACGATGTGGTGGGAGACTGGTCTTGTTCAGGAATTCAGTTTAGGTTACCATAATAGGGATCTACACTGACTAAATAATATGGTTTCCTTATTACAGCAACTTAAATTAACTCCTTTAACAAGAACCCAGGAGAGTTCCTCCATCAGAACTGCCTCGTGAGAGTGGACCGGCGAGATGCCGCGGGCTGGTGGCCGTTGCACTATGCAGCACTATCAGGGAATGTTCAGGTGGGTTTTCCAAATTACCTCTTTTGGGTTCCGAAACTACCTAAAGGCTCCATAGTAGTTCCTTTTAAGGAACTACTACGGAGCCGTTCGGTAATTATGAGTAGAATTATAGAGGCTACCCCAAAGAGGCCGTGCTTTTGACGGTTACCCAGGTGATCCAGGGCCTGCTACAGAAGCGCGCAGATCCCAATCGGAAAACATCCAAAGATGAACCGAAGTTGGGTTTCCCCCCTTGGGTTTCGGCTCTGGACCTGTCTGCCTACTACAAACACAACGATGCTGGGCTCTTTTCTCTTTTAAAAAAGATGCAATTTACTTCACCTACTAAGATACAAAAATGGGGATCCATAGTAAATTAAATATGATAAGGTGTCTTTATGATGATAGCTTAACTCAAGTTCCATGACAAGAACCCAGGATGCAGTGCGACTGCTGCTTTCGGTGCGGGCACACCCCCTCAGCCAGGCGATGCACTTTGCAGCAAATACAAACAACGTGGAAGGAATCTGCATCCTCTGCGAAGCGGGCGGCAACCCTCTCGCAAGAAACTGGGTGGCACGTTTGGAGAAACTTGCTTATTGTCATGTGGTATCAGAGAATCTGCTGTTAATTATTTAGCATGAGATGGGACCTACTTATAATGCACAAACATATACCACAATATATATATATATATATATATATATATGGTGCCCCCAAAATTGCTTCGCGGAATCTGTGCGTACGAGAACAAAATCACAATCGCATGTGTGTGTGTGCATGATTCGCATATGCTTTGTTTGTCTCACAATCTTCTGAGTAGGTTGCTGCTGGTTGCTGGCTCAATAACCTCCGTGAAAGGTGGATCCTTCGGGGGGCGGGGTAGCATGCATATATATATATATATATATATATATATATGTATGTATATGTAAATGTATATGTATATGCATATGTATATGTATATGCATATGTATATGTATGTGTGTGCACCCATCTATCTATCTGTCTCTCTGTCTAGCTATATATATATATACACAGAGACACGCACAGCTCAGGAAACCTTTTCGGCGCAAGTGCCCTGGAGGCAGCAGCCGGCTATGGAGCCCGGGAGGCGTTGGTGGAGCTGATCCGGCGAGCAAAGCCCAGCCGACTGGATCTCTCCCGCGCGCTTTACGGTGCCTTGAGCTTCTGGTTTCCTGAGTAGTACCCTTTTGCCCTTTTTCTCTTTGGGCTCCCTTATTAAAACCCAAACAGCAAGGAAGAAGGGCACCCTTATTCTTAGGAGGATCCTGGAGAACCTACAGGGAACTCCAGAAAGTTGGAATATGGTTTCATGGTAGGATACCCTATAATTTACCATAGAAGGGTTAGGATAATCATATTCCAACTTTCTGGCTTTTACCTTACTGGAGAACCTAGGCTTGAGAGGTGGCTCTGCAGAGCTCGTGGAGCAACTGCTGGGCACGAGGGCCGATCTGAACTTCCAGAACGACATCCACCGTGACCTGTCCCTTTTGGGGCGGCTTTTCGTGTCAGCCAAGTCCTTCCAGCACCGATTCGGGCGGGCCACGGCGATGTCATGCATGGCGTATCACACCAACGGCTGCACCCCGCTGATAGCAGCCCTGCAGACCGCGCAGTACGAAGGCGCTGCTGCCTTGATTGCGGCCGGAGCCCGCCTGGATTTGACAAACAGCCGAGGCTGGACGGCTGCCGACTTTGCTGAAAACCAGTCAGTCCCCGAGTTTCTGCAGCAAGGTCTCGAGGGGCTCTCCTCAGAGTGTAAGCGGGTGGCCACCCTGGCTCTTCTCGACGGCTACGTCGAGGTCGCCTTTTGAATCTATGCGCCTTTTGCTGGCTTTGTATGAGGCACAATTCACAAGGGAAAGGTTCTATAGGACCATGCTGTGGAAGGAAGTGCAGCCATTCAGGACCGGCCGCACGACTTTGAGTTTTGAGCTTGTTCAAATTGGTTCACGATGGTGGGCCTAAGAAAGGGGCCTCAATCATTACCGATACTATTCTTGGGGGTTCCTTATTATTATAGCATAATGCCAAAACCCTATTCTAACTATTTACGGCCTCTATATCATACACCCAGCCCTAAATCGACCGACGCCGGTCGCCTCTCTGCATCGGTTGGATTCCTGGACCACAGTGTCGAACCACGAGACTGCGATGAGATGACGTCCTTAAGATAGCTATAGACTCTGAACCAGATCTGCAACCACCACGGGTGTTGTCATGGATCGTGTAGTACTTGGTTCTTCGTCGAAAGGCCGCTTTCGGTAGTTTAGATCTTCCCCTGTCAAGATCTCATTGTTTGGACGGCTCAAAGCCATTTCAACCGGGTCCTGCAATGACTTGGAGGATCATGGAACTTAGTATACACAGATCACTGCAGTTATACCTTTCTATTGGTAACTGTACTTTATCAATGATTATTGCTCGTACCCCTATAATTCAGGTACCCTAAACCCCAACCCCAATTAAGGTACCCTAAACCCTAACCCTAATTAGGGTACCCTAAACCCTAACCCTAATTAAGGTACCCTAAACCCTAACCCTAATTAGGGTACCCTAAACCCTAACCCCGATTAAGGTACGTATAATCTTCCCCCATGATCCTGCAAGTATTACAGGCCCCGGACAAGCCGCACCATGCTTGCAATTTTCAAAGAAGCACATCCGCAAAAGGAGTCCTTCCGTTTCAGGGATATGGTTTAGGGTTTAGGGTTCGGGGTTTCAGCCTTTTCCGACGATGTTTCTGTGGCTATGGCATTCAGGTGTAGCAGAGTTTTGTGTGGTGTCAGTGTTTTTTGGGATCCCTCCCAAACTATTAGAGTACCCTTGGCCCTAGTCCTGGAAAGAATATACAACCTATGGCTAGTCGACAATGGTTCGCAGTGAATTGTTTCTAACATCTCGCTTTGTGGCTACGGACCTTCATGATGTACTTAAACCCTATGCTTCCAAGGACCTTATAGTTAGGGCCCTAGACCCCTTAAGGACCCAATAATGGGGTACCTGGAAGCTTAGGGCAAAGCAAGGTAACCAACCCTAATCCTGGTCTGGCGGCAGGGTCCATATTTAAAGGGTCATGGGACTTAGTAGTTTAGGGTTTAGGGTAACTATACTTATAACCCCAATTAAGGTACTTATAACCTTACTTACTAAGTCCCATGATCCTCCAAGTAGGGTGCCCTCTGAGGCGTTGATGCTTAGTGCCAGCGTCTTCGTGCTGCTGCAGCAATCTCCTTCAGGCCGGCAACCTTTGGTTCGTTTGAGGGGTCCGATCTATAGTAGGGTTTCTATGATAGAGGGGCCTTAATAGTTTAAATAGGATTTTGGGTCCCATTATACTATAATGATGGTAAGGAACCCCCAAAATAGCATTGGTAATTACATTAAGGCCTCATTTGTCCCTCACACAGCTTACAGGGTGGAGGAATTTCATTTTTTGTCTCAGGCTGCGCAGATCTCATGACTTTGCACAGCCTCTTTTGCATGTTCGTGTCGGGCGTCGGGGTCTGCAAGACTGACGGCGATGGGGTTGATTTAAGTGCCGAAATAATTACCAATACTATTTCGGGGTTCTTATATATATATATACATATATATATATATATATGTATATATGTAATTTTATAATGGACCCCAAAACCCTATTCTAATTATAATTATTAGGGCCATATCATAGAACCCTACTATAGACCCCCCTATAGACCCCTTTAAAGGACCGCTTAAATAGGGAAACCTATTCTAGTTATGAGGACCCCTATATGATAGAGCTGCTTGAGCATAATCCCTCCTTGAGAGGGGTTACTTGCAGGATCATGTGACTTAGTAAGTAGATTATAAGTAGCTTGTTTGGAGTTATAAGTATAGTTCCCCTAATTATAACCCGAGTTACTAAGTCGCATGATCCTTTAAGTGGTAAGTAGTAATCAGGGCACTGCAGTATTGCAGTACTGAGAATACTGGTGGGGACAGGATATACCATACGCCTGAGGCTCGAAGTGGCCCAAAGGCCTGGCAAGTCTAGCATGGCCGTTAGGTCCAAAGGCCTGAACCCAGTAACCTACTATTTAGGTAACCGGAGCCCTAGGGTTACAGTAGAAGCCAGAAAGTTGGAATATCATTATCGTAACCCCTTTAAGGTAAATCGTAGGGGATCCTACCATTACTCCAAATTCCAACTTTCTGGAGTTCCCTTTAGTTATTATCACAGTTATTCCGACCTCTATTGTCCGGCACACCAAACGCCGAACCGTGCAGGCGAGGTGTCGTCCCACATCTTCTCGACGGGGATCCTCTACGTGATCCTCTCCGCAGCTCCCACCGCAGTTCGCGGTAGGCTTTTGCTAGATGCCTAGATTTTGGTGCAGGGATGTCCAGGGTGTATGGGGATAGGGTTTAGAGTTACTTGAGCGGGAAGAAGCCGAAATATGTCCCCAAATGCACCAGCCCAATCAAATTCAAAGCTTTGCAGCTCGTCAGAAGAGCCAACCAAGCACAGGCATTTGTCAAGCGTGTCTAGGTTTTGGGTTTCTTTACAGCTTACATTTGGGCAGTTGCCAAAAATTCAGGTCCCTTTTTGGGTACCCTAAACATTAGGTGCCGTATTAGATTAAGGACCCCAATGACAAAAGGGACTTTAATTTTGACAATAGGGGACCCTCATATAGTACCCTAAATGGTAGGATCCTTACTATAAGGCCCCCAGAATAAGGTACCCCCAATTTTCAGAAACTCCCATTTGTCAGACGTTATCTGGGTGGTGTGTTAGCCCTCGAAGCCCAGCGTGTGCTTTGGAGTTTCAGGGACACCGCAGTAGTGGGGCTGTACTGGTTCAATGGCAGGATCCCCTATAATTTACCTTAAAGGGATTATGATAATGATATTCCAACTTTCTGGCTTTTACTGTAAAGGGTGATATGGTGTTCATCCTGCCTTCGTTCTGGAAACTGCGAGATGTCCCCGCCCCTAAACCCTAAACCCTAACACCAACCCTGTTTTAAAAATGCTAAGCACTGAAGGAAAAGACAAAACGCCCCGAAGCCAAGTGCGACCTTGAGCCGGCAGTCTTCAATCCACTAGGACCCAGAGCAGGCCCTTATTTCCCTTTTTTCAGGTTTCAAGTTTAGTGTTTAGGGTGTAGGGTTGTTCCCTTACAACACCCTTTAGGCCAAAAAGGACAGCCTTTTTATTCCTAGGTTACTCTTAGGTCGAGAGTATCAGCACTGGCTACATCTCCGTGCTTGACCCTGTGTCTTCGGAAGGTTAAGGGTTTAGGGTTTAACCCTAAACCCTAAACCCCAAAGCCCGAAAGTCCTGAACCCCAAACGCGTGGTCTCGGGCCGTAGCTTCCGGTTCTGAAGTACCCAAAGGGGCCTATGTAACGGTAGACTGTAGGGTTTCCATATTAGGAATTACTATGATGTCTTAGGGGAGTCTTCCCCACAACAGTACATACTTAAAGGATCATGGGACTTAGAAACCAGGGTGAGAAGTAGGATAACTGTACCAATAACTACTTATAGCCCCAATTAAGGTACTTTATAACCTGACTTACTAAGTCCCATGATCCTCCCAACTAGACCCTCATCCCTAAACCCTACAGATCCCTGTAAGGAACCCTGAAGATCCCTTTCAGGAGCCCTTAAAGGAACCTAAGTAAGTCCCATGATCCTCCAAGTAGACCCTAATCCCTAAGCCCTGTAGATCCCTTTTATAGAACCCTTGTAGATCCCTTTCCCATGATCCTCCAAGTAGGACCTTCTGGGCACAGAGCCTTCTAGATCAGCGGCTCTGAGACAGCTCCGAAGACCCGAAGCCCGGGGAAAAAAGAAGGAGTCCGACCACCTCCCTATGATTTCAATATCGGAGTGTGTTCATATATACATATGTTTTATGTGTATATATGTATATATATATATACTTATATTATATGATATATATATATATATATACACACACACACTTCTTTGTCTTTTGTTGTTCAAGAGGTTTTGTGTTTTCTGGTCGGGGAACTGAGTGTAAGTTTAAGCTACCAGAACAGGGAGAGGTAGTAAATCAGAACCAGCTTCTGCGCGGTTTCCCGAGGTTTGCATGTCCTGCCTGGCATCCATGCTTTCTGAGAAGATCATGAAGGTCCTTCAGGGTTTAGGGTTTAGGGTTTAGGGTTCCCTAGTAGTAGAGTAGGTAACCCTTCCTTAACCCTTAACCTTTTTGCGGCAGGGTAACCCCTATATAATCCCTATATAGTCAAAAAGGTTAGCCCTTTAGTTCCCCATGATACCCGACATGTAGGTTTCCCAAGAAGCCAAGTTGGGTCCAAATGCCTATCCTGAGACTTTGTAGAAGCCTAGTATTCTAAAACTTCACGTGCCCTGAGCCCACATCCCAAACTTATAAACCATAAGCAGTAGCATGCTACATAGGCAGCTGGGCTTCTGCATAAAGAAGCATAAGGTCTCTATGGAAAGCACGGGTTTCAGGTTCAAGGAAGGCTTGCATTTCTTTGCCATGACTTTGAAGAGGCCTGGGGTGTGAGGTCCAATGTTAGTTGGGTTTTCAGGTTTTTCGCTTATGCGCGGTTCGGAGTGCAAGGTTAACAAGCTACCTAAGCTTACCCCCAAGGGTCCAAAGGACCCAATTATAGGTACTCGGTTTTAGGACAGTAGTTATGTAGGTTAGGATTCTGGAAAGTATATGATTATTGGGTACTTGGACCCTTGGGGTTACTAGAACCGACGTTTGTTGTATTGTCGGAGCATGAGGCATCTAGTCACCAGTGGCCTAAACGTAAGGATCTGCCAACTGGACCCTCTATCTACGCTCCAGTAGACCCGAAAAGGGGCAACGAGCAAAGCTGAGTTGAGGCTGCGAGGAGAACCCTAAACCCTAAACCCTAAACCCTAAACCGTCCTAAACTCAACCTCCAGTCTCCGTTGCAGGTCCTCTTTATTGGTCTAACCACTGCTGTCGTTAGGATTGTGTAAGGTATCCTCCAAAAGGGACTATTGGTAAGCCCTGGAAGGTAATTTAAGCTGGAGTTCCATCCAGGAATCACCCTAAACCCTAAACCCTAAACCCTAAACCCCCAACCCTAAACTCTGGCAAGCTTTGCTGATACGTGTTTCAGCCTGCAGCTCAAGCCTACCTGCCGAAAATACTCGCCCCCATATCAGATTAGGGCTTCGGGTTTAGGGTTTAGGTGGAGGCGCCAGTTAAGAGAAAGAGTGACAGAACTTTATAGAGACACCAATTCCACGAACTCCCCGCGATTTGGAGTGCTGGCGAGTCTTGTGCGGGCTTCTGTCTTGGATTGTCAAGCGTCTCAGTTTGCAAGGCCGGCAGCAGTCCTTTCTACATCCAGAAGGTGAACCTGGACATCGGGAGTTTCATCACGTCTGCGCACTGGCAGCATTGCTTTGGGGTGCTGTCCTGAAAATGTTGGAAACTGCTAGACTCCCAGAATCCTCAAATGTCACGAGTGCCTAGACCCTAAAGTGTGATTCCTTGCTTTGGCTACTAAGTACACTCATACGATATCCTAAAAGATACAGTTCATGAGGGCTTAGACAAGCTTTACAGCTGGAGCCAAGGTGATCATGCTCTTCGTTTGTGGCATGGCAAGCCAGCGGCCAAATGACGCCTTCTGGAAGAGTCGAGATGTGGACGGAAGGAGCTGCGAACTTCCCCCATATCACACCCCACCTTCTGGTATCATAGGGACCCTTAGGGACGGGGGTAGGGGGAGGGGGTAGGGGACTATATTTCCGGAAATAGGCCTCAAAAGTCCTTATTACGGGCATTTCCCCTAACCTTTCGAAGGGTCCCTATGATGGTCGGTGAGGGCCCTTATTACGGGCATTTCCCCTAACCTTTCGAAGGGTCCCTATGATGGTCGGTGAGGGCCCTTATTACGGGCATTTCCCCTAACCTTTCGAAGGGTCCCTATGATGGTCGGTGAGGGCCCTTATTACGGGCATTTCCCCTAACCTTTCGAAGGGTCCCTATGATGGTCGGTGAGGGCCCTTATTACGGGCATTTCCCCTAACCTTTCGAAGGGTCCCTATGATGGTCGGTGAGGGCCCTTATTACGGGCATTTCCCCTAACCTTTCGAAGGGTCCCTATGATGGTCGGTGAGGGCCCTTATTACGGGCATTTCCCCTAACCTTTCGAAGGGTCCCTATGATGGTCGGTGAGGGCCCTTATTACGGGCATTTCCCCTAACCTTTCGAAGGGTCCCTATGATGGTCGGTGAGGGCCCTTATTACGGGCATTTCCCCTAACCTTTCGAAGGGTCCCTATGATGCTAGGTGAGGGCCAAGCATCGGCAATCTTCCTGCGCTCTGCAGGGCACTCCCAAGCCATCCCGAACCCTTGCCGGCCGAGGGCCTGATCCCTCGAGGGCTGGATCCCTCAGTCCAGCCTAGGTAGGGCTTTGGGACATTTTATAATTTCCCTTGTTGGGCTTAAGAGGATCTTATTTACTAATATTTTTCAAAGGCTCTAAAAGCCCCACACCTAGCAGCGCAAACGTGTGCAAGCCGGCGAGAGACGGAAGACTGCTGATGCTTTACAAAATGTGATAACAAATCGGCTCCACCCCGGGTCTCCAATGCCTGGCCCAAAGCGTAGGGTTCGAAGCCGTGACATTTCGCGACATTCAGATACGCAATTAGGGATGTTGTCGCCACATCACGAGAATGACAGGAAGCATGCACCCCCGAATAGCATGTTTAGCATGGCTTGGGGGTACCTAAACCCCCGATTATAGTCTGTTGCTACTTGGACCCTCGTGTCTGTTATATGTCATCCTGAAGTTACCCTGGGTCTGCCAGTACACCTACCCTGAGACTCCAGTATCCCTTAGTGAGGGAAGGTACCTTAAATCATTTTTGGGATCCTACCATAACTTAAGGGTATATTCCTTAATTAAGGGATATTGGAGTCTCTGGGTACTTCGGAGTTCCGAGTCGATTAAACAGACCTACTTTGGGCTCTTTGGTGCCCCCAGGTTTATCATGTCGAACTCACTGAAGCTAGGTTCTTGAGTAGTACCCTTTTGCCCTTTCTATTTTGGGGTCTCCTTATTAACAACGGAATATAAGGACAAATGGGTACCCTTACTTTTGAGGTGTTACTGGGGAACCTAGGAAGCCTTGGCATCCACGCCACATCAAATTTGCATTGTATCTGGAACCCAAACCGCACAGGAGGTGGCTATCTCCGTTCAAACAAGTTAAAACCGGAACAGAACCATACAAGCGGTTAACCAAAATCAACAGTTGCAATTTGCCGCCTGGAGGATGGAGGCAGGCATCTTCGTGGCCTGGGATGCTCGGATGGTCCGCGGGGGTGGTGAATGGGTATGTCGGGCTATTTTTGCTAAGCTATAGAGAATAGTGTGACGCTCGGGCTTGCTCCAGATTTGGCAGTAATGAATGAGTCTATGGTTCAGAGTTGTTCTGCCGCCTGAAGCAAACTTCGGCCACCGTACAGCCGGGCCCGAAATTTGAACCGGTTGACGCGACATCGACAATCCTTCGGTTTGGGGCTCCAGCCTGCTCTGACCACCATCGCATAGACTTTGGTAAGAGGACGGTAAAAACAAAGCTCACGAATTCTGCGTTCTCATGATCATGGAGGCCTCCCGACCGTCCCCTTCTGATTGAACCCAAGACCCGAAACAAAAGAGGAAGACAAGAGGGCTTTATGCCACATGAAGCCATGGAGCTTACGCTTTTTCCCTCCCCAAACCCTGAAATATTCTGGGTTTTGAGAGAGCGGGGCCTGCTGCCTTTGAAGGTCCTGGTGTTGGTGGTGACCCTTCTCCAGAACTGGCTTGCAGGCTATCTTACCTTTGGTCAGTAGGGCATGGAGGAATGGGGTAGACTTATAACTACAATTACTACCATTCTTCCATTCCCTATACTAACCAATGGCAGGGCTGGGAGTTTAGTTTCCCTTCAACTGGCGGTCGTTGGGTTTTTGTGGGGATTAAGGCATGCAGAGTCGATGGACTTAGAAGTTTAGGGTTTAGGGTTTCCGATGGGCTTTGGAGTTTAGGAGTTCGGGTGAAGGGCTTAGAAGTGTAGGTCTTCGCGCTTTCTGTGGACTTCGACGCAGAGGGATTCGCACTTTCGACCTCCCCGCTGCTTAGTGTTCGTCTCGCGGCTCTCCGGTCGCTCGTATCATAGAGCCATCCTAGAAAACCGAATGACCCCTAAGAGTAGTGGTTGTGTACTTAAAGGATCATGGGACTTAGTAGCTAGGGTTATAGTTAGGGTAACTATACTTACAACCCCAGTTGAGGTACTTATAACCTTACTTACTAAGTCCCATGATCCTCCAAGTACCCTTGTACCACGATTCCTTACAAAGCATTTGAACCTTAAACCCTTCTGGGGTTCGCTTCGTCCATAATCATAAGGATGGCCAAGAATCTCTAGCGGACTCTAGCGCTGAGCCGCAGCAGCTCTCGGCCAGCTTGCCATGTGCCGTTAAGACCAAGCCAGGTGCATCCAGCCTTGTGGACGAAATCAAGCTTCAAAAAGGTTTAGGGTTTAAGGTTCAGATACCGGTATAGGGCCCCCTGCTTATTGGATGTTTTGGTCTTTAAGCAGAGCACATCCCAAACACCAATCCCCAGCCAAACGATCAGTCCAAAGGAGTGACTGCATGCCTTTCTACATGTCAGAGCATTAAGGCACAAGCAACAGTGACATCCCTATATCTGATGCCCCATCACCTTATACTGAAAAAGCCCTTAAGTTACTCACCTCACCGGCTCTAAGCCGACGGAGAGGTCTCGTTGCCAAGCGCCTCTCCACCGTCATCCGCTCCAGCGCACAGCAGCTCTCTTTGCTTATCGCCTCTTCGTCATGACTTGAGCCGTTCAGGAAAGGGGGGGGGGGTGGGGCTATCGGTGGAGTCTCGAGGATTTCGACATCTGGAGTTCGGACGTTCTGGAGATTTCGAGCAAACAGGCAGCAGCATGGCGACCCTGCGGGGGCTCTGGGGTGCTACGATGTTTCGAGCCTCGGGACGGTGTAGATGTGGTGTACAGGAGCATCCCTTGTGTGTCCCCGAAAGCTTCTTATCCGTCCAGCTCACCAGACTCCTCAGCCCCGCATGATATTGCACAACATATATACTATGATGCGCTACATTCTAGAATAATCTGTACCACATTATGCTATAATGTAACGTGATATGTTGTTATAATCTATTAATACTATAGACGACGCGGCAGGTTCGCAACTTCGAGAGTCAGCAAATTCAGTTGAGACAGCTGACTCTGACCAGGTGTACTTCGTGGGGGACATTTGGTTGAACCACGTTGCTTTCGACTGGCCAGTGGGAACCACGGCGCTGGCCACAGGGCAGAAGAAAGAGTAGTGGGGACCGAGAAAGTTATTGCAAGCAATAATTACCTATATGATGTTGAGGAGTTCTTTAATATGACTATGGTATAATTGGCCCCAAAACCTGTTTTAACTGTTAAGGCCACAGTAGGCTTTGGGTGTAGTGTCGAGGGGTCGTGCGGCTTGCTCCCAGTGTCGGTGCCGCAGTTTCACAACTACGAAGACACGGGCAACTCAGGGTTTTTGCGTTCGATAGTTGCGTGAAGCCGTAGGCCGTAGGCTCCAGAGGACTGAAAGGGTGAGTTGATGCGAGAGTCGTTGCTTCAAGTTCGTGCGATGCCGTGCGCCGTTGCTTTGACTCCAAGGGATTTATGGCTCCGGATTGCAAGCTAAGGCTGATGATGCAAGGGCAGATTGTAGAGAGCTCTGCATGTCAGATACATCCGCCGGAAGCACGACACTTACAGGTATTCAAGTTCGATCGCTGGGGAGAGGCACAAGCGGATTCGTCATGGTTCATGGGCTGTGCGGCAGCTTCATCTGCACAAGCCGTCTCCGTCTCGTTTGCAGCGAGTAATTAGAGCAAGCTCCGTGAGACAATCCAACCCGAGCGCAACAAGTCAGACAAAGCAAACTGACACCACGGGAGCACGACCGCATGACACGATGTGGTTGGAACATGCCCAAGAAATGGGCGTCCGACCGCATGAGACAAAATGGACCAGTGCGAACCACAAGATAAGACACAGGAGGCCGACTGCGTTTGACAGAACAACACGGAGAACAACAGGAACCCAGGGAACACAAGACTTCGACCATGAGATCGAATGGGACGACGCATGCAAGAAGTCAAGATACGACAGCAAAGCGGAGGGAGCAAGGACAGAACCCTAAACCCTAAACCCTAAACTTTAAGGGCACGGAGTCCGATTCTATGCAACCAAGGCCAGGGCCCAGCACACAGGGTTCCCACTACCTGACACCAGAAAACCCGGAGAAGATGTACAACTTGGACATGGGCCTACTATACTTAAAGGATCATGGGACTTAGTAACTAGGGTTGTAATAAGGGTAACTATACTTATAACCTTACTAAGTCCCATGATCCTCCAAGTAGGAGTAGGAGCCCAAAGCCACAACTCGGAACTTTCAACCCGCAGTCTAAAGATCCCCGAGATCGGCAGCCCAAAGGTGATCGCTCTCTCCGTGCAGGTGTTCGCGTTGGCGGGGCAGGCAGGCATTAAGTTTAGATTCAAAGGGCCCGATTAGAGCTTTGGCCTTTGAATGTCTTGAGATTAAGATTTAGGGACAGTGTTGGCAGGTAGGGTTCACCTGATGTGAGCCAGACGTGCAAGGTCAATGTAGTCTGCTAGACTCGAGAGGGGCACAGCCCAAGGCCCGTAAACCCTAGTTGGAGGGTCATAGGACTTAGTAAGTAAGGTTGTATAGTTACCGTATATTTTATAACCCTAGTTAACTAAGTCCCATGATCCTTTAAGTTAAACCTGAGCAAGCCAAGTCTTGATCAATCTTGCGAGCCGACACCCTAACCCGACCTCTTCGTGCCTCAGAAGCACTTGTGTCGGGGCTGAGAGGCAGCAGGGAGTCAGGACCTAGGGACCTAACAAGGGTGAGGGCCTGGGAACAGGTCGAAAAATAAGTTTACAAGCCTTACTGCCAAAGAGCATCCGCAACTGCAACCTTACAAGCCGCTCACGCGAGCCAAACCGATCGCTGGTTCGTTCGGAAGTCATATAGAGCTTGGATCTCTCCTGTTTCGCAGGTGGAGCACAAGAATAGCGGCTCAACTGAACCTGGTGGGGCACCGGGGCAGCGGCATTCCTGGTTTCGGGGCCTGTGCAGATGGGCGGTCCTTTCGCAGCACCAGAGAAGCTACAACGGTTTAGTGTTTAGGGTCTAGGGTTTACAGTTTAGGGTTTAGGGTACTCCTGCAACAACCTGAGACCGAGATTCAGCCAAACTACACCCCAGGCGCCACCACACAACCAGTCCCAGACCCTTGGTTGTTGGATTGCTGACGATGTTCTCGGCACTTACCCTAAATCCCCAAATCCTAAACCCCTAAACCCTAAACCCCTAAGCCTTAAACCCCTAAATCCCTACACCCCTAAACCCCCCCTGCCAACTTCCCAAACCAGAGCATCCTGGACTGCGCCCGAGGTGTTGCCACCTCCGGACCCCCCAGCTCTTCCTCCTGTGAGAGCCAGGTAGTTTAAAAACTTCGCTTCGCCCTTTACTACTTGGAGAGCTCCTTATTATTTGGATAGAATAATGTTTAAAACTTCGCTTCGCCTTTGGAATGTGGGGTTTCCGAAAACGGTGGTACCTCGTTTTGGGGTCCTTATAATAAGGATCCTACTATATTAGGGTCCCCTTTTTTTCGGAAACTCCAGTATCTACCTTACACTCCTAAACATCAACATCCCTAAACCGTGTGTGCAATTCGTCGTCGGGACCTTGCCATCCAAGACAAGACTTGGAGCAGGCTCTTGCATCTTTCACCCGAGCGTGGCGACTTGTCAAAAGCTGCCTTTCATATTCAAGCTAGGCTTTAAGATCTAGGCTTTCGAAACCCAAGACCACAAAATGACCCAAGCCCTTATAAGCCGTGCTCAACTGAAGTTGGCTTGAAATCTTAGATACGGACAGACTTCGATGTTGACATTTGTATTTGCTCCCAAAGTTCTTGAAAGCCGTACTCTAGGGCTCCAGTTACTTAGATAGTAGGTTATACTGACCATGTAACACGTAACCCAGTAAGCCATTACTTAGGCAACTCAAGCCCTAGGGTCACCGAAACTGCAAAAGGGTACCAGAGTTCAGGGTGTAGGCGGGGTTGAAATCTGTGAGTCTGAAGGCCCAGGTACATGACAAACCCTAGGCATTGCCGGCACCTTACCCAAGCCACGCCCCTTGCATTTATTGTATCTGGTTGCATTTGTAGACCCTGCAGCAACGTATTTCATAGTCATAGTAACATCGTAGGCTGAATATAGTGTGAAGATGGATGAACGCTTGCTTTTGACGCACGCCGCGCAGCCGCGCAACAGTGTTCCCACGCTGGTGGGCGAGCCGAGACAGTGTTTCCTGAGATCAGGGTTCCTTTTTAGGCCCTCACCCAGCATGGTCGCCTCAAGCAGCGGTTCATTTCAATGAGGAGGCTTTGCCCTTAATTATCGGACGAGCATGCGAGGTTTTTGTCCTCATTCGGCTCACCCCACAGTCTACTCTGAGGAACCCAGAAAGCACCGGCGAAATGATGCTTTTCGTGGAGCTCAAGGTAAGTACAGAAAAGTTAGGCTTCTGGATACCTCTAGAATGGGTTACTATACTTACGCTAAATATATATATATATATATATATATATATATATATGTATATGTATATATGTATATGTTGATACATGCGTGTGTATGTGTGTGTATGTGTGTGTGTGTGTGGGGGGGTGTTAGTCACTCTACTCTACTAGACTTCTCCAGCGTCTTACATGTTTCCCATGTAATTACCTCCAGTCAAGCGCTCTGCCCCGCAGACCTCAACCCTAAACCCTAAACCTAGACTTTATGGGTTTTTAGGTGGCTTAATACATTGGCGAAACTATCATGTCCTTTCAAGCTTAGGACAAATATTGGGTGGTTATATAGATAATGGAGCTTATAAGCATAGTAGTGTGAGGCCTCTTGAGGGGCCGGTGCTTCGGGGGTTCCTGGGTACCGCGGTCTAGCTTCCGAATTTTCTCAGCCTGCCGGCACAGGAATTCCCGAAATGCGGTGGCCGACATGTGGCGAGTATTTTAGCCCAGGGCCTGCATAAACATGGTTCCCGCTCGGTCGTTTGCTTGAGGTGCCTCTACGGGGCGTTTGACAGCAGTGTAATTCTAGGATCAAGCAACACGGTTGGGCTTTCATTGCGTCACGCTACTGCCTAAACCCTAAACCAGATGGAGCTTTGGACTCGAGGGGAGAGAGTCTTCCTGGCTGAACATGAGATATTTGGTTTCGAGGCCTGGGTGACATCAGTTGCATCTACGATTGTCGGCGAAGGACGTCTAGATCCAGTGTTGAGACCGCATTCACAGTTTGAGCAATGGTGATGTGCTTGTTTTTTTCTGTTCGGCCATGTGGGTTGAAACGGCTAATTTCAGTGAGGGCTCCGATTTAACTATCTAGCTGCTGGGGCTTTTGAAGTGAATGGTTTCTTACTTCCCTGCTAAAGAGGCTGACAAGAGTCAACCGATACCAGCATCCTCAAGAGCTCGGTCCCTGTTAGACTGCTGAATCCCTGTTGCCTGACCTTTAGCAAGGTAGTGCATTTGGGGTGTAAGTATACTGTATATAGCGGTACTAGTGGAGAATGCCATATCGTAGTATACTTTGCTATACTGTACTGTATATTCCGAAAATTAGGGGTACCATATTTGGGGGTCCTTATAATAAGGATCCTACTATTTAGGGTACTATATTCGGGTCCCCTATTTTCGGAAACTCCCATATACCCCGAACCCCGAATTTGATCCTGAACCACAAATACGACCTCCGCACAGCGGTGGGCCCAGTGCCGGTAGTTGCGCCCCGACGCACTTGGCGAAGAGGCGCTTGCCCAACAAAAGGTGTTGGAATCCACCTATGGTCTCCATTGTGATTCAATTTTTGGGTCTCACCACTGTTGTATGTAGGACCCTACAAGGCAACATTCATTGAAGACTATAGGCAGTATCTACTCCAAACAGTTTAGTTCTGAATACCCCTTATACAAAGGACCCAAGTTTAGAGAGCGAGCTGTGAAGACGTTGTTGCTGAGGTGTCGTTGAGCTGTGTGTCACAGTTTGCTTGGACTTCTTCCTGCACTGCGACCCATGTTCCTGAAGCTTCGAAGGCCTGGAAACATACCTCACCTGTCTACTAAACCCGACACCTCGCATCAGACCTTAAACACCTGAACCTGCCAAGACACTCAATACCCATTATTCAGGACCACATGGGGGCGAAAATTCGGGGTACCCTATTTTGGGGTCTGCTAAGGATCCCGCTATTTAGGGTACCATGTAGGGGTCCCTAGTGTGGGAAACTCCCACATAAACTTTGTCAGGGTACCTTGGTGGACTATGAGCAGGTCGGGTCGTGGGGATGATCTCAGAGCTTGGCCTTATCTTGTTGCAGACCCTACCTATAACCTGCGACCCAAATCGTCTTGATTTGTAAGTTGTGGGCCTTTGGGTTACAGGTGCGGTTCAAGTTTTCAGGATTTGGAGTTTCGGGCTTTTAAGTTTCAGGGCCAAAGGGTCCAGGCAATAGTATAGTATTTTGTTTTTGGTGCCCAAAAAGCTATGATGTACCTCCTATTTCGGTACACGGACCCTTTGGGGTTGTCGGGCTTTCGGCACGAGCATCCCAACTCGCCTGCCGCTGCAGAGGCTGATCATGGCTCACAGCCATCAGGGAGGTCTTCACTTGACCCCAAACCTCACTTGACTGAGGTTCTTGTTAAGAAGCTAAAACTTCATATGATAAGAAGCTTTATCTTTATGTCTTTACTGCTTACCGTAGATGCCTATAAATTAGATTATAGGTTCCTTGAACACAACCCATGTCCCTAAACCCTAGCTCCCACCTCCGAGCTTCATAGCGAATACGTCGGTAAGAGGTCTAGGAGCACCATGCTTGAATAGGGGCTTTGGGACTTTGGGGTGCCTCATTATAATTGTAGTACAGCGGGCCCCAATCCCTATTCTAAATATTGGTATTCAGGCCCCTATATTAATTACCTGTTCGACAGACCCATGGTGAAATCAACGTTTACACAAGTTTTCTCGCCCTGGTTACTTCAAAGAGCCCGTGCAGCGCTGAAACTGCAGGGAACCGGAGACGGGTTTCGGGTTTAGGGTTTGCGCCTATATAACCTACTTGCTTGGGCTCCTCATATGAGTTCCCTATATTAGGCCTTAGAAGGGTAGGTGACTTGGGGTTTCGGAAGCCACAACGCTACCCAGCCACGTTTCAAGCCCTTCGTCCTAAACTTTCACTGTGAATGCCAATACATCATGGTTGATCCCTGTGCATGACACCGCCAACTTCCCTGACATGTTTGGTAGCTAGCTAATTAGTCAGTCACTTCGGTAGAGAGGTGACTTGCTATCGATGGACGGATGGACAGACAGATATACAAAAAACCCTACACCATCATGCACCCGGCATCTTTCAAATTTTAAAACTGAAGTATCCGCCTCAGGAGTAGGCTATCCCAGCACCACACAAAGACGCGTCATGGCCTCGAGAGTTGCACTGGCCCTGTTGGCTTGCTGGGTTTGGCATCCAGGCTGCAAAACTAGTGCGGTGGATTACCTGATTACCTTCTTTCGGAGGGTCTTACAACGGATGTCGACAGCAATTAAATTACACTGAGCGCAATACCCGTTATCAACAAAAGCAGCAGCAGCACTGGCAGCGTCGATGCTCAGAATGGTCACATTAGCAGGTATGTTGCCACATACATTGAGGTACCACCGATTCCCCGTGCAGGGCGACTAACAACACAACAGCAAGACTAGGTTTGGGCTTCAAGAAAAGGGGATTTATATGGGATATCTCTATCCTAATTTTTGCTTATGTGCCATTTTGGGGTGGCCCTATGTATGTTGCTTTTGGGGCGCTTGAGAGCCTCGTTCGACACCTAAGGCATTGGAGCAGGGCGCCAGGCAGCTCGCAAAGCCCGGAAGGCACGGAACTGCTTAGGGTCTTCGCGTCTCCGTATCTTTCTCTGTTCACTCCGCTCATCCGTACGATAGGTAGTGACTGGGTGTTATCTGTTCCTCGTCTATTGGCATCTTGCATGTCGCTCCGGCTTCCACCGCTTCAGATTTGAGGCAGGACGTGTCGTTCTCGTCGTGTTTTGGAATGACTAGAAGATTGATCTTGCACTGAGGGGCTGATTAGGTAGCCTTTCGCAGTTTTTTTTTTTTTTTTTTTTTTTTGGGGGGGGGGGGGGCGGTGTTAACACAATCCTGCTATTGTATTGTTGGAGAGTTTAGCCTTTTCTCGGCTCAGCCCCTAAGAGCAAGGTTGCCGGCACTGGGCCTTTATCTGATACTCAATTGCTCTCCCCCATATTAACTTACACGACTACGATCCTAAACCCAAGTACCTTGTTGGGTCCTTTGGACCCTCAGAGCTGTATCCTGCATGTTCCTGCCGAAGGTTTTTTGATACAAACCCTAAACCCCCGTAAACCCCTTTCTACCCCAAGCCCCAAGCTAGCCCCAAACCCTACTTGGAGGATCATGGGACTTAGTAAGTAAGGTTATAAGTACCTTAATTGAGGGTTATAAGTATAGTTACCCTAATTATAACCCTAGTTACTAAGTTTCATGATCCTTTAAGTACTATAGATTCCCTATAGACCCCTTTAGAGAACCCCTTAGAGGAACCCTACTCTAATGATATTTCGTTACTTTGAGGCCTGGCCTTTGCCCGAGTAGCTCGCCCGGGCCGGAACACGAAGAGCATCCGCGGCACGACTGCACGGGAAGGGTTGCATGGAATTCCCAACGCGTCCGACGAAGAACATGGTATGTGCATAAATAGACAGGCATATTTTGGGGCCCAAGGGTTCCTAGGGTTAGGTTTTGGGGTTGAGGGCATGTCGAGTTAAGCCAAGCAAAGACCTGAGTTGTCGGCAAGTAGGATTCAAACCGGAGCCAGCCTTAATTCCTGCTGGTTGGGCGAAGGCTACATGGTATACTTACTTAAGGATAGCTTGGATTATGTTAGCCTTATAAACCCGAGACCTCGGGTTTAGCAGGCACTTTCTCTTCAGCGGTGCATCCTACTTCTTGCATTTATGTCAGACATTTGCACACGTCCTCTGGTCCCAGCACAAGCTAGTTGAGATACGTTATGTGCATATGGCTGCATATGTTAAGTATAAGTACGAGACGTATACTTGCAAGTGCAACGTATACAGCTCTTTATTTGCATATACAAACATACACACACACAAGCTTGGATATCTGCAAGAGAGATCTAGATCGACTAACTTATATCTCTCCGCCTATCTCCCTATCGACCTACCTATCTGCTATCTAAGTATCTGTTCTTACATCTATCTACCTACCTACCAACCTATCTAGCTATCTATTTGTCCATCTGTCTATATCTATTTATCTCTCTCTCTCTCTATACTGATCTGTTTTTCATCTCAGTATCTACTGACATATGCACACGCACAACATGAGTCGTGTATGTGTGCATGTGCAGTCACTCTCACGCACCTGGCCAGCTGTCCAGATGCGCTAAACCCTACACCTTAAACCCTGAACCTTGAACTCTACACCCTGAACCCCAAACCTTGAACCCTGGTCTCCCTCACCACCCCTCAGCCAACATGGCGCTCCAACTCCTTGCCGGGCAGGTGCTAAACGCAAAAAGAAGGAACTTGAACCCTGAACCCTCAACGGTAAACCCTCAACCCCAAACCTTCAACCCTGACTCTAAACCCTCCACCCCCAACCTTGAACCCTGAACCGTCGTGCCCAAACCGTCAAAAACCCCCGCGGGATATCGGCCCAAGGCCCTCGGAGGCGCAGTGCGAGCCTCCTGGCCGATGTGGAGGAGGAGGAACAGCAGACGAGGACGTCTTTGGGTTTAGGATTCTAGGGGGTTCTTCGGTTTAGGGACAAGAGGGCTTTTTTGGGGTTTTTAGGGGCTTTGGTTTAGGGGTTTAGAGGTTCGGGAGGAACAGCAGACGAGGGACGTCTTAGGGTTAAGGCTCCCCTAGGTTTGGTGTACCGTACTTGAATACTTTTTTTGGATACCTGTTCCTTAAAGGAACCATTATGAAATAGCAGTCTATACTTTTTACTCCCTGGATACTTCAAAGTCTTAGGGTTAAGGGGTTGTAGGGGTTTAGAGGTTTAGGGTTTAGGGCTAAGGGGGTTCTTCGGGTTTAGGGATAAGAGGGCTTATAGGGTTGTTAGGGGCTTTGGGGTTTTCGGGGTTTAGAGGTTTAGGGGTTGGGGTTACGGGGAGTTTATCGGGCTGTTAGGGTTTATATTTCGCTCCAAAAAACCTAGCTTTTTAGGGTTCCTTGAATTGATTTTTTTTATAAAATAGGGTCAGGTAGGGATTAGGATCTCCCAGATGCTGAGGTTTAGGGGTTTGGGGTTGGTGTAGGGCCGATCGCTATAGTTGGGTCTTTGGGCCATGGATGGGTCTCCGAAGTGTCATGGCTTTGGAAGGGCAGTCATTTGCAAGGTTCAGGTTTTAGGGTGTCTGGTTTCCAGACACTGTGGTTTCGGCACTGACAGCGTTGTGGGCACAGGTCGTACGCAGGTCTCTCTGCCGTGAGGGTTAGTTCAATGTGGCCTGCTGGGCTTGGAACCCTAAACCCCAAACCCTTGTGTATCAGGCATTGGTGTCAGTACGAGCTTTAGGGTGCATGCGTCGTAAGGGCCATGCAAGCCTCCCGACGCGTTGACCTGTCTGGGTTTAGGGCCTAGGGTTTCGAGCCGGGTTATCTCAAACCCCAATGCCTGAACTCTAAAACCTTACACTGCAGCCCTTTAAGCTCCAAGCCCAAACCCAAAACCCGAAAACCCTGGTAACCCTAAACCCCAATGAACCCATAAACCCTAAACTGGCTCTAAACCCCAAGCCACATCAAAAAAGAACCGCTGTGTCCTGAGCCTCAAACACTCCTGCAGGAGCCAGCCGAAAAGGAGGCCCGTGAAGTCCGTGAAGAAGTCCCTGCGTGTGCCACTCAAAGGAGGCACCCATTTAGGGCTCACCAAGACCCCGAAAAGCAGGCAAAATAATGGCCCAAAACCAATAACAGGTTTTTTTTTCCGCATACTTTTGGGGTCCAGGTGGGGTTCAGGGCTACACTCTCACTCAGAGAATCGAAACCTTAGGCCCAAGGCCCCATGAACACTGCAAACCCTTTGACGGAACCATTACACTAAGGGTCTTTAAGGACCCTTATTCTCCCTAGCTCAGGACCCATAGAAGGAACCCCTAAGCCCTGAATTCTCATAGGAGCCCAATTCCCCAGCCCGCAAGGCTGCTGCAAGTATCGTGTGCAGCGGCATTGGCGATGGCAGCAGATGCTGGAAGAGCCGCACGGGCCTAAGCGATCATGAGCGATTTGCAATGTCATTGTCGTTAATGGTCGTGCTTTTCATATTCGTAATGGTAGCAAGGTTACGAAGTCTTTGATTCCTGTGAGGTTTGTACATCAGGTACCCGATGACGTGTCTCGATGATACACGGGCTTTAATAGAGTTAGAACACGGTCTTGGGATGCGTCGTACAATTATACATGGTCATAATGCGGAACGGCGAAATCGCATTGGCAACTATTTAGACCCCTACAGATCAAGGTGCTGAGCCTCTACCAGAGTGTATTGACTAGGATCCGGCGGCTGCAGCTTTGTGAGCACTGTTCCCAGACTTTCCACTATCCTCTAATGAAGGAGTAGACCTTAACTGATCATATTGCTACCTCGGTTTAACATTCCTTAAATAAGTAAGGGATACATTGGACGATTTGGGATGATGGTGCAGTCTTCGCATGTGCAGTGAAGCACAAGGTCAGTGGGTACCCCACAGCCCCAGAAATCTGCTTCCCACCAAAGCATGAAGCGCAGCATGTACAGAATCGGGCCTTCAGGGGTAAGTCTGCCATGCGTCTATGCTGAGTTGCGAATGCAATCGCCGGCTTGCCTCACACCTGCTGTTGCTTCACGAGTCGAGGTTTAAAGTGCCAGTGCCAGGTGTTCTGGAGTGTCATCTAACAGCCGACAGTGGCTGCAGTGATGTGTCGGAACCTCCCCGCCGACCTCCGATTTCCGCGACTGCTCGGAAATTGGGTGTGATTTATTTACAGAAGTTGCGATGCTGGCACCGGAGGTTGCAGGTGCTTGTCACAGCCGCATGGTTTTCGAGGTATTGTGTTAGGGGAGTTCCTTTCCTGCACTGTACATGTTAGGACTTAAACACGAAACCGCACAAGAGGTTCGTTGGCCCTTAATATATAATATAACATACTAGTACAATGTAATATACTATCGTATAATATAATATACTATATAGTATAGTATTACACGCCGGCTGCAGGCTCGGTGTCTACGCGTGCTGCAACGACACTGGGCCACCGCGCAGCTCGGTTGCGAGATAGGGGTACGCAAAGGCCCCAAAGTAGTTCCTTTTTGGGGTTCATATATGGAATCCTATAAGGTACTCCCAAAAAGGAACTACCTTGGGGCCTCTGGGTAAGTCCAAGTGGTCCTGTTTTTGTTTCTTGGTGCCCGCAAAAAACCACAGCCCGATAGTCAAGAGAGCTGGGTCACTTAGGCTATCAGGGTTCGTGAGTGCACATCGGATCGGGTTCGGACATCATATAGACTTTCGATTCCGGAGCGGGCACTGCCTACGACCTGAGCACAGGCTGGGCATTACGAGCCGGATCATTGCAGCTTCACGATAGCACAATGGGACATGGACCTGAAGGATCATGGCGGATTTCATAGGAGTATGATGCTGGGTCTGGCCCTGTCAACTCGAAAGACCATGAAATGTATGAAGCTGCAGCTGCACGTGGAATCGGCTCTCAAGCAGTGGACAGTAAGATTGATTGTCTCTGGGGGCTGTGGGCTCCAGAAGAGGAATATAGGGGCCTTCATGATTACCTATACTATTTTGGGGGCTCCTTATTATAATTATGGTATAATGGGCCCCCAAACCCTAGTCTTATTATTAAGGGCCCTATATTAGCTCATACCTAATTAAGCCAGAAATTCGGAAAGTCTTTGGTGCTCAGGCTACCACGCGCTCTTCGTGTCGGAGCCTGGAACGCAGGCGCTCTCAAGTCTTTCGGTTTGTTTACATGGAGAGGTGAGAGTTTGGAACAGTGGGGGTTGCTGGTTTATCGCTCAGAACTTCTTGGTGCTAGGGTTTCATGGGTTTTGAATCCTGCCAAGCGCTAGAGACCTTAAATCGAGCCCCTTCGCTCCTGGCCATGACGCCCCGACATTCTGGTCTTTCCAGCATACACCAGGATCTTGCGATCAAGGTTCTCTGGAATCTCCCTTCTGCGGATTCATGCGCGCATGTAAGATCCTTAGGTTTATGTGCAAGTTTCAGGAAGTAAAGCCTCAACACATAAAGCTCTTATAGGGACCCCTAAATACTGCTCATTTGTCGTCAATGTGCTTTGTTGGGTACTTCCCCAAGTATGCACCAAATGGGTACATGGAGCCTTACACCCTTATGGAAATTTTCTACGAAACCGGAAACCCTTACAGAACCCTTCTATATAGAATTTGAAACCCTTGTAGCGGCCTGCTTTAGAACCGGAAGCCCTTATAGACCCTGATAGAAACATTTCTATAGAAGTTGAAACTCTTACAAAAGTCTAAAGAACACGAACAAAGAACGCTTCTATAGAACCCTATAGAGCCCTAAACCTACCTCAGCCTTGTAGAATCCTTAACTACTATTTGCTTAAGAAACCACCAAAAAATAAAAATAATAATCCCTATATAACCCCCATAAGGAATATATTTTTTATTTTTTGGGGGTTCTTAAGCAAATAGTAGTTAAAGGAACTGCTTGCCAGGAGTTTCTCGGCTGCTTTCCCACGCCCAGAATGGCCGCTGAAGCCTTCGACTGGCGTGCCCGGGAGGTCTCGGTTGGTTTAGGGAGTTTAGGTTGTGGCGCTTAGTTTTTTTTTTATTGGGGGGGGGGCTTATAGAGTTTTGGTTTTTTGGCGCTTATAGGGGTTAGGGTTTGGGGGGATTATAGGGTTTAGGTTTTGGGGTTTATGGGGTCTAGGTTTGGTGTTTTTGGAGTTGATAATTAGGGTTTAGGCTTAGAGTGCATACAGGAAGGGTGAAGCTTTTGCTTTGAGAGGTCTTGGGGTGTCGGGCGCCGAGGGCTCCGGGCTTGGGTGCTGTACTTTGCTGCAGGGTTCTGTGTGTTTTCGTCTGCACCTAGAGGATCCATCGTAGTTCCTTTTTGGGGTTCATATTTAAATCCTATAAGGTAATCCCCAAAAGGAACTCCTATGGAGCCTATGGGTAGATCTTGTCTTACAGCTGAGTTTCGGGTTCGGACGCCTGGAACGCAGAGCGGAGGTTATGATGGGCGTCAGACTTGAGGTTTAGGCCTAGGCGTGAGGCCCAGATGCCTGTCACCGTCCCCCAAGGGTCCAAAGGACCCAATAATTAGTAATTAGGTACTCGGTTTTAGGATACAGTAGCAGACCAAAAGTTGGAAACCCAATAGCCTCAACCCTTAAGAGTAATGTATAGGGAATCCCAGCGCGATTTGGCCTTAATCCGGTTTCCAACTTTATGGAGTTTACTGTAGTTGTTATATGTAGGTTAGGATCTTGGAGAGTATATGATTAGTGGGTACTTGGACCCTTGGGGATCCGACATTAGCTTCACTGAGCTTCTAGGTTACCCAGTAAGAACGAAAGGGTCGAAGCGCCTGGTGATTAGGCACTTGGGTTCGGGACCGTTGTTTTGTAGGTTAAGTAATATGATTATTAGCCACTTGGACCGTAATCTAGGGTTTTGGATTTTGGGGGGGTGTATGGGGTTGAGGCTTCTTGGAGGTGGTCTTCGGCGGCTTTGCGCAAATCCTAAAGCTTCATGAGGATTTAGAGTAAACATGAGTAAACGAAGGGCACGCGAGCTTCGCGATTCACCCGCCAGTATGTTTGATACGGGTGGAGAGGCACGATGATGCGTTTAGCAGATGGCATGCAGGCCAGCCCCATCCCTATCGTTGGGTATCGCTGGGGCCAGCTCGGTAGAGTTCCATCCTGTCAGTACTGCGGAAAAGCCTGACTCTGCGAACACTCTCTTCTGATTTCTCGTTTGCCCTTTGCAGGCATCTTGGAGAGTGGTGAACTACCCCATCTCGGCTGACGAGGCTGGGCACAGGGGTCGGAATAGGCAGAAGTAGTGTCCCCATTATTTTCCTTGTAGTATTCTACCAGCAGCATAGTATACTATACTGCTCCTGACCGTTACGACCCCAAAGCCTGCACCCTATAAACCCTAAGCTTTCACATCGTTTTCTCATCATTCCGGCCCTTATCGTAGCCTCCTGGATGTAGGCCCTGCAGCTTCACCCAGTCGACGGTTAGACTGTGGTAGACTACCTAGGACCTAGTGACCCAGTGACTACCTGGTAGCCTGGTAGACTGTAGACTTCGCATAATGATAGTGCCATAGAGTCTACACATTCCTCGAGAAGCGGACCGGATGGGTTTTGATAAGTCTGATAAGTCAGAGCTTGATTGCTTCTGTAAATGCCTGTCCCCGGCCCTGCTCAAGTAGTGTGTAATCGTGCTTTCCAGTGGATTTTTCGTGGGATGGCAATGCAGCGGTGCGCATTGCTTCCGTAGTCCGGGATTGGGGCGCTCCAAGTATGTGCAGTGTTGTTCATCACTCCGGCAAGGGCAGTCTTGTCTGCTTGAATACAAGCCGTGTAGCCCACAGTTGGGGGGATACACAGGAAGAGGGACTGGGATGGGGAGGGAGGGGGTTTTCGGGGGGAGGACGGATTTTTGAGGGGCTGACTGGGGCATATCATTGGCTTGAATGCGACTTTGGTCCTGGTATGGCTTGCTGTGCCCAGGCCAAGAAATTGCTGGAGGGATTGAAGGCGCCCGGAAGTGGTGGTACCAGGCTCCTCTTGGACGGCAGGATCCAGCTTTGGGAGACGGCCGCTTTGCTCGTCACGAGCGCGAGGAAGCTTTCGGAAGACGCCCTTCACGTGGCGGTGACGACTCAGTGACGACAGTGTCCAGGGCGCACGTTGACATCCCCCTGTGCGACTGGATTTGGCTGAGCGCTATGGCCATGGCTGAAAGAGGTGGTCGAGGCGAGTGCCAAAGAGGCCGTTGACAAGTGGACCGGTTCCTCAAGTTCTTGCTCCCCTTCCAGCCGTACTGAATCAGGATGACATCATGGCCTTGGGGCAGTTGCAGAAAGAGCTAAGAGCTCCGTCCACAACTTCAGAGAGCTTCGGGGTTTGGGGTTAAGGCGTGGGAGGTTTAGGGTATAAGGGCTTAAGCTGAAGGGTTTAGGGGTTGATGGGTTCAGGGGTTTACGGGTTCACGTGTTTA